GCCATCCTAGAAAAACACAATTTTTCGTGCTGCTAGCTGCTGCACTGCTGCCGTTGCGCTTACTGCTGCTGCGTCTGCTTGGAAAAACACGATTTTTCGATAGATTCTGTTGCTGGCGGCTGCTAGCAGTAAAACAGGTTCGAAAAAATCACCTGCCGGAGGGGAAAACACCAGGGCTCTGAAGGACGAGCGAGTGCCAGAACCACGCCCAAAAAGTGCCTAACGTGTCGTCTGAAATCCTAGAAAAATTTAGATTTTTGGTAGGCTGCTGGCTACTGGCTGCTGGCTGCTACTGGCGCTGGCTGCTAGCTACTGGCTATGTGCACCTTTTGCGTGCTCTTGCCCACGTTCTTGACACCCATTGGTGCCATCCTAGAAAAACACAATTTTTCGTGCTGCTAGCTGCTGCACTGCTGCCATTGCGCTTACTGCTGCTGCGTCTGCTTGGAAAAACGCAATTTTTCGATAGATTCTGTTGCTGGCGGCTGCTAGCAGTAAAACAGGTTCGAAAAAATCACCTGCCGAGTGGGAAAACACCAGGGCTCTGAAGGACGAGCGAGTGCCAGAACCACGCCAAAAAAGTGCCTAACGTGTCGTCTGAAATCCTAGAAAAATCTAGAGATTTTTGGTAGGCTGCTGGCTACTGGCTGCTGGCTGCTACTGGCGCTGGCTGTTAGCCATTAGTGCCATCCTTGAAAAACACAATTTTTCGTGCTGCTAGCTGCTGCACTGCTGCCGTTGCGCGTGCTGCTGCTGCGTCTGCTTGTGTCTGCTGCTGCCTACTGATGCTTGCTGCTGCCTGCTGCTGCCTGCGGCGGCCTGCTGCCTGCTGCTGGTGCTGCTGCTGGTGGCTGGTGCTGCTGTGGTGCTGCTGTCGTGCTGCTGCAATCAAACAGCTTCCAAAGCAAGAAACAACTGCTGCTGCAGCTGCTGCTGCTGCAGCTGCTGCTGCTGCTGCTTCTGCTGCTGCTGCCCTTTTGCATGCTCTTGCCCATGTTCTTGACACCCATTGGTGCCATATAAATGAGAAAATTGCCAAACGTGACGTCTGAAACCCTATAGAAATATATACAAGATATATAGAAGTGCCTAACATGTCGTCTGACATCCTAGAAAAACACAATTTTTCGACAGATTCTGTTGCTGGAGGCTGCTAGCAGTAAAACAGGTTCGAAAAAATCACCTGCCGGGGGGGAAAACACCAGGGCTCGGAAGGACGAGCGAGTGCCAGAACCACGCCAAAAAAGTGCCTAACGTGTCGTCTGAAATCCTAGAAAAAGCTAGATTTTTAGTAGGCTGCTGGCTACTGGCTGTTGGCTGCTACTGGCGCTGGCTGCTAGCTACTGGCTATGTGCACCTTTTGCGTGCTCTTGCCCATGTTCTTGACACCCATTGGTGCTATATAAACGAGAAAACTGCCAAACGTCACGTTTGAAACCTTATAGAAATATATACAAGATATATAGAAGTGCCCAACGTGTCGTCTGACACCCTAGAAAAACACAATTTTTCGATAGATTCTGTTGCTGGCGGCTGCTAGCAGTAAAACAGGTTCGAAAAAATCACCTGCCGGGGGGAAAACACCAGGGCTCTGAAGGACGAGCGAGTGCCAGAACCACGCCAAAAAAGTGCCTAACGTGTCGTCTGAAATCCTAGAAAAATGTAGATTTTTGGTAGGCTGCTGGCTACTGGCTGCTGGCTGCTACTGGCGCTGGCTGCTAGCTACTGGCTATGTGCACCTTTTGCGTGCTCTTGCCCACGTTCTTGACACCCATTGGTGCCATCCTAGAAAAACACAATTTTTCGTGCTGCTAGCTGCTGCACTGCTGCCGTTGCGCGTACTGCTGCTGCGTCTGCTTGTGTCTGCTGCTGCCTACTGATGCTTGCTGCTGCCTGCGGCGGCCTGCTGCCTGCTGCTGGTGCTGCTGCTGGTGGCTGCTGCTGCTGTGGTGCTGCTGTCGTGCTGCTGCAATCAAACAGCTTCCAAAGCAAGAAACAACTGCTGCTGCTGCCCTTTTGCATGCTCTTGCCCATGTTCTTGACACCCATTGGTGCTATATAAACGAGAAAACTGCAAAACGTGACGTTTGAAACCCTATAGAAATATATACAAGATATATAGAAGTGCCTAACGTGTCGTCTGACACCCTAGAAAAACACAATTTTTCGATAGATTCTGTTGCTGGGGGCTGCTAGCAGTAAAACAGGTTCGAAAAAATCACCTGCCGGGGGGGAAAACACCAGGGCTCTGAAGGACGAGCGAGTGCCAGAACCACGCCAAAAAAGTGCCTAACGTGTCGTCTGAAATCCTAGAAAAATCTAGATTTTTGGTAGGCTGCTGGCTACTGGCTGCTGGCTGCTACTGGCGCTGGCTGCTAGCTACTGGCTATGTGCACCTTTTGCGTGCTCTTGCCCACGTTCTTGACACCGATTGGTGCCATCCTAGAAAAACACAATTTTTCGTGCTGCTAGCTGCTGCACTGCTGCCGTTGCGCTTACTGCTGCTGCGTCTGCTTGGAAAAACACAATTTTTCGATAGATTCTGTTGCTGGCGGCTGCTAGCAGTAAAACAGGTTCGAAAAAATCACCTGCCGGGGGGGAAAACACCAGGGCTCTGAAGGACGAGCGAGTGCCAGAACCACGCCAAAAAAGTGCCTAACGTGTCGTCTGAAATCCTAGAAAAATTTAGATTTTTGGTAGGCTGCTGGCTACTGGCTGCTGGCTGCTACTGGCGCTGGCTGCTAGCTACTGGCTATGTGCACCTTTTGCGTGCTCTTGCCCACGTTCTTGACACCCATTGGTGCCATCCTAGAAAAACATAATTTTTCGTGCTGCTAGCTGCTGCACTGCTGCCGTTGCGCTTACTGCTGCTGCGTCTGCTTGTGTCTGCTGCTGCCTACTGATGCTTGCTGCTGCCTGCTGCTGCCTGCTGCTGCCTGCGGTGGCCTGCTGCCTCCTGCTGGTGCTGCTGCTGGTGGCTGCTGCTGCTGTGGTGCTGCTGTCGTGCTGCTGCAATCAAACAGCTTCCAAAGCAAGAAACAACTGCTGCTGCTGCTGCTGCTGCTGCCTTTTGCGTGCTCTTGCCCATAAGCCCCAAAATTGCACCCCGAAAATGCCCTAACGTAACTTCTGAAACCCATAGAACATGATGATTTTGGCTACTTTTTCCTCCTGCTGCTGCGGCTCCTGCTCCTAAACTTGTCTGAAATCCTAGAAAAAGCTAGATTTTTGGTAGGCTGCTGGCTACTGGCTGTTGGCTGCTACTGGCGCTGGCTGCTAGCTACTGGCTATGTGCACCTTTTGCGTGCTTTTGCCCATGTTCTTGACACCCATTGGTGCTATATAAACGAGAAAACTGCCAAACGTCACGTTTGAAACCTTATAGAAATATATACAAGATATATAGAAGTGCCTAACGTGTCGTCTGACACTCTAGAAAAACACAATTTTTCGATAGATTCTGTTGCTGGCGGCTGCTAGCAGTAAAACAGGTTCGAAAAAATCACCTGCCGGGGGGGAAAACACCAGGGCTCTGAAGGACGAGCGAGTGCCAGAACCACGCCAAAAAAGTGCCTAACGTGTCGTCTGAAATCCTAGAAAAATCTAGATTTTTGGTAGGCTGCTGGCTACTGGCTGCTGGCTGCTACTCGCGCTGGCTGCTAGCTATGTGCACCTTTTGCGTGCTCTTGCCCACGTTCTTGACACCCATTGGTGCAAATTCCAATCCACTTTTGATTGCTGCTGCTGCTGCTGCTGCTGGTGGCTAGCTGCGACGGCTAAAAGTAAACCACTCCCATTCCTTATCCTGCTAGAAATCGCATCCAATCCAATCCATCCAACGGTGACTGCTGCTGCCAGCTCCCATGCCCTCAAGACAGCTCCACAACGAAGTCAAATGCTGTCCCGAGGCTTGACGTCCCTTCCGAAATCCTAGAGAACTAGCTCTTCAACTAGCTCTTCGACTTACAGCGCCGCCAAAATTGTCGGACCCGCCAGCCTGAAACACCATGGCAGTGAAGGACGAAGAAGCCACCAAATCGCACCAAAAAACTCCCTAACGTCCACTCTGAAATCCTAGCGACCTAGCTCTTCAACTAGCTCTTCAACTTACAACTTCTGAGCCGCCAAAACGCCGGACCCACCAGCCTGAAATACCAGGCAGTGAAGGACGAAGAAGCCACCAAATCGCACCAAAAAACTCCCTAACGTCCCTTCTGAAATCCTAGAGACCTAGCACTTCAACTACCTCTTCAACTTACAGCTTCTGACACGCCAAAACGCCAGACCCGCCAGCCTGAAACACCATGGCAGTGAAGGACGAAGAAGCCACCAAGCATGAACCCAAAAAAAGGGCAGGCGGGAAGGGCAACCCGAGGAGCCCCACGTACTTCGAGGAGACTCCGGGAAGGACCCCCCACCGGTGAAACAAAAACCCCGGAGTCAGGGAATCGAGGTACGTGACCGGTGGGAGGGGGACCCAACAGAGTCCCCCGGCAAAGGGTCATGGTTTGTTGTTGTTGGTTGTTGTTTCTTGTTGTTTCTTGTTATTTATTGTTGTTTGGTGTTGTTTGTTATTGTTGTTTGTTGTTGTTTGGGTTTATGTTTGTCTTTGTGGTTGTTGTTGTTCTTGTTCTTGTTGTTGTTGTTGTTGTTGTTGTTGTTGTTGTTTGTTGTTGTTCTTCTTGTTGTTGTTGTTGTTCTTCTTGTTGTTGTTGTTCTTGTTCTTCTTGTTGTTGTTGTTGCTGCTGTTGCTGTTGCTAGTTCTGTTGCTGTTACTCTTGCTCAATGCTGCTGCTGCTGCTGCTGCTGCTGCTGCACATGCCTGCTGGCTGCTGCAAGTATGCCTGCTGGCTGCTGCAAGTCCTTTTCTTCCATCTTCTTCCCTTACGCGCTCCCCCTTGCGTCGGCCGGGGTCGGCGGATATATAATATTATATAAACCCCTTGATTAGAGGATTCTGGTTATACGAAGTTCTACTCTCCAAATTCCATCCCAGTGAGGCGTCTGCGTGCCTCTCGCGGCTCTTGCGCTATGGGCCCTCAGAGACGATCATGGTGGGTGGAGGCATGGCTTTGCGGCTTCACCGAGTTCAAAAACAATTAAAAACCTGATTGGTGGTTTCAAACCTTTTTTATTTTCCATAATATATGGGATAATATGGGATAAACCTTCCCATTGACTAATATTTTTCAAGATGGTTAAAACCACCAACCAGAAAACACATGGCTGTGGCTCGCTTTAGAAATTCTGGTGGAAATTATGAGCAATTCTATGTCGTGTGTGCAAAGTCTGCAATACCAATCTGACGGTTTCAAGCAATGCGCACACATTTGCGCACGTCGTGTCACGCCATTTTGATCAAGTCACCTGACTTGCTGGAGAAACAACCTCACCCTGACCAATCAAGATGGAATGTCAGAATAGTTTGCTGTCCTCAATTCTGCAAAGTTGGAGACCAAAGTCTTGGTAAAATCCATACCAACTGAGCCATTACAACTACCCTGCTTAATTGGTTATTATATGGAGTTATACTACCTGGGTTATTGGGATTATCATAAGCCATAGTAGTGAAACTTATCAACCAACTCGTATAATGAGATGGGATAGGGATATTGTGATCATGTTTGAAGTACAAACATGAATTGTGCGCAATCATAGCTGAAGATGACGCTTACGGGTAGCTACCCTTCGGCATATGTTCCTCTAAACTGGCAACGGACACACGCCGATTTTGCGCGGTGTTTTCCGAAAAAAGACTCGGAGAGTGTCTCTTGCCACGGTTTGCCTATAGCATTTGGGATGGCGCCCCAGATTTCCGAAGATTGCTGAACCAGTAGCAGAGATCCCTTCTTTGTATCCATTTTTCACCTTCCAACAGAGTATTTCGGTTTTTGGCTCTAAACATCGCTCAAACACAACGGCGCCTTGTTGGAGGCCATGATTTGCGAGATGTGCAAAGTCTCATCTTGGGCTTGTCCGAGTTGGGTACCGCGGATGTGGATGGTCATGGTTGGTCATGTTGCCCGGGTGCCATGTTGCCCCATGACGGGGACAAGCCCCAAGGGTTGAAAAACTGGTTGGCGGTGACATTTGATACCCTTAAATGTCCTTAAGAATGACTAACTGACTAGCTTGAAGAAGCCTTTTGGATCCTTTTGGATCCTTTGGACATCCTTTATTTGTGGTCAAGATGTTCCGCTTGCGTCTAGGCTCACTACGGCTTGTTCATACGCTGTGTGATTGGATACATCGCTCTTCATCGATCAGTCACTGTCAGCTTCCTTTGTTGACATTTTTTTGGCAGGTTCGTATAACATGGGTATGGTTCAAAAATAGTACTATATTATACTATATTAAGACACACATTTAGTGGGTCCTATACTATGTCGATAATCCACTCGTGGTGGAAAATGATGTTTTGCCCATGTATTCTTTGGTTTTGATACCCTTGACATCCCTTGACTATCAACAGTTGCTGTGTCAACAATCCGATTTTCAGCGAGGATGCACTGACTGGTGTTGCTTTATGAACTCTTTTATTTTCGATCCTGATGCGGGATGCTGATTCCCACTTGAAACCCCAAGGTGAGCCCAACAAAAGTCAACAGCGCATGCTTCCGCTTCAGTGTGGCAACTATTTCTTGGTTTCGATATCACTTCGCCAGCGCAAGTTTTCCATGTTATTCCACTCCCACGAGCTCCATATTCCAATCCCCAAGTTATCGTGGAAATTTACGAAACACATGCAGGAAGGGGCGAGCTTTGGGCAGATCCCCTGGATTTGCCCAAGGATCCATTGATTAGTTATATAATGTTATATAAATCAACTGTCCCCACCAACTGTTACCCTCTGGTAAACTAACATAGCTATTGAAAATCACCAGTTTTAATGAATAAATCAACTATAAATGGCAATTTTCAATAGCTATGTTAGTTTACCAGAGGGTAGTTATATAAATCATGATATATTATATATTATATATATATTATGATATAACATGATGGGCATATAAAGTGCTATTTGCTGTAATTTAATTAATGTAATATATTGTGATATAGTATAGTAACGTATAGTAAGGTATATACGTACTAAAGTATATATATATGAATTATTATATTACATGTTATTATTGTACTACGCCCCAGGTTCCAAAGAGTCCCTGGGAGAAGCCACCAATTACTTCACCACTTTGAATTGGTCCGCGCAGTGGCGCCAGGAGCGATATCTCCCTGTTGTTTCCAGTTACCCTAATTGGGGATTAGTTATATAAATCATGATATATTAATATTATATATATATATTTATATATTATGATATAACATGATGGGCATATATATATATATTGTGCTATTTGCTGTAATGTAATTAATGTAATATATTGCAATATAGTATAGTAACGTATAGTAAAGTATACTTATAGTAAAGTACAGTACAGTACACAACATCATAAATTTAATATGATATATAACCATAGAATAATATATATATATATATGAATTATTATATTACCCTCTGGTTATTTAACATAGCCATGGAAAATCACCATTTTTAATAGGTAAACCATCTATAAATAGACCATTTCCCATGGCTACGCCCCAGGTTCCAAAGAGTCCCTGGGAGAAGCCACCAATTACTTCACCACTTTGAATTGGTCCGCGCAGTGGCGCCAGGAGCTTGACCATGTTGTTTCCAGTTACCCTCTGGTAAACTAACGTAACTATGGAAAAATCACCATTTTGTATGGGAAAACTCGCTATCAATGGCCATTTTCAATAGCTATGTTAAATTACCAGAGGGTACCCTAATTGGGGAGAACGGCGGTATCTCCCATTATTTCATGGTTTCCTTGGGATGATATCTCCCATTACTTTAGTAAACCATGAAATTTCATGGTAGACATCGTTCATGAAAATGGCATATGGAGGACTGGGATATTCATGGGAAAGACACCCTGCGCTCAACATACAAAACATGGGCGAATAAAAACATGGGGAAAGCCGTTCGGAAAATGATCGACATTTATGATGGGTTTTTCCACATCGAACTGTAAATATGAGGGTAAGTCTGAAGTTTTTTCTGTATGTGTTATGTTTTTTGGTTTGGAAGGAATTCATTTGTTTTTTGTTTGGAGAGAAGCAATCATGGAGGTGTTCTCTACATTGTTTTTTTAAGATATGCACATTAATAGTTTATACAGCCATGAATGGTGCAGATGCTATCTTGTTCTGAAGATTACCCAACTTCTGAAGGACAAAGTGATGTTTTTCAAACACATCTGACGCGCGCTTCAGGGTTGGAAGATGAGGTACCCTTCAAACAAATCTGTGCTTCACAGAATCTGCCAGGATCCATTCCCTTTCGGACCCTTTTTTCGGGTGTGGTTGCATGTTCCACGTATGCTGCTGGATAACTTGGAATATGGGACTGTGACACTGGATCCTGGCACAGTTGATATGGCAAGGCACGTGGTGCTAGCTGCGGCTAGCTAGACACAGAATTATAGTTGGAAATTCTGGACATTTCAATCCTGTTGGATCTTCTTGATTGCCTCATTGACTCATAGATCCTATTAGGGACTTCAACAAAGTCAACCCTGCTGAATTCTCTTCAAACTCACTTCTATGGCTGAAGCTTGCCGGCCGGGCACGTTTCAGATCCACAAAATCACCTCAAATTTGGAAAGCACGTGGTAGCTGGTCAAAGGGTAGATACACCAATTAGATCCAACAAAAATCCAGGATTCTCGCAAGATCATGTTGTAGATATGAATTTCCACTCAATCTACATGGACCGGGGCATCTACTGGGATGTTACATTATCATCCAGGTAAACTCGCCGCTCAAGTACAGTTGATCATCATTTTCCAAATGGTCATGGTGACCAAAAAATACAAAAAATACGAACTGAGATCACCAAAGATCTGGTTTTTCTTTCTTCGCTCCGCCATTTTTCCGCCAGTCGATCACCTTTTCGAAAGTCGCAGGACGATGCGCCCGCGGCCTGGAAGCCGCGCTGTCCGCTGTCCCCGCCCGTCAGGGCACCGGGAAAAACACCGGCGGCTCCGCGGGCAGAGGATCCGGCGGTGCCCTGTCGAGGTAGCTGGGGGAATGGGAGAATCCAATGGGAATTTTCAAGGCAGATTGGATTCGAAGAGTATCCACAGTAAGAGAAATAGGGATGTAGCAACATTGAGATTGAAGCATGGAGATTGTCTGCGAGATGGGACATATTCAGCAAGACATGATACCAAAATGTTGATCTATACGGCTTACTGCAACCAACTGCTTGGTGTTTGTGGGAGGATTTCCCTTGCGGATCCTCTAGGATGAGGATACTCCTCTAGGTGTACCCCAGAGTCAGTGGAATAGGAGCCCCTTTCAATGGCAGTTCGTTTGGCTATGAGCTTGTCCTCCGTTTCTCGGACGCCCACCCACCAATATCAGGGGGTCAATCCTACGCCACGAATGAGTAGATTTGGTACCCGAAACTGCCGAAACCATCCCTGATGCACCACTTGTTTTGTTACAGAATGTTATTTCATTGCATATACATTACATATATACAATTATATACATGTATATATATAATATCAATAGACAAGCACTTTTATAGCATTGTTTTTGTATTAGTGTTGATTTTTATGGTGTTTCTCATAGAGATTCCCTCTCCACCTTTGGAAAACCCACGGTTTTTCGTTCCGAGGTTCGCATTTTGGAGCTGCTGGAGCTGCAGAAAGAGCTGCAGCAGGAGCAACAGCTCCGTTCGGCGGCCCAGCAGCTCCGTTCGAAGGCAGAGGAAGAGCTGAAGAGCTCCAAGGAGCAGAGCGCCGTTTGGGGGATCTGGAGTCGCTGGAGGAGGATATAACGGTGATTTATATTAAGATTATAACATATTATAACATATTCTAACTATAAGAAAATGTGGGTGTCTAAAATGAAAGACAATGGTGATGCAATGAACACGTCATTTGTTTCTTTTAGAATCGGGGGAGATTTTGGAGCGACGGCTGTTTGGTGAAAGGTCACCCCAAATTGGGACAATTTGGGATTGTATTGGGTCTGAATTTGCCTCTCAGTTTCAGGCTTTGAATTAGCCTCTGGTAATGACTAACAGTTTGCTATTGAAAATCACCATTGAAATAGTGGATTTTCCCATTGAAAAATGGGTGGATTTTCCATAGTTATGTTAGTTTACCAGAGGGTAATCTCGATTTTGGTTGATGTGTGATTCTGTTAAGGGGGTCCCAGTTTGAAACCCTGAGTGTCAATTGCAAGAAAGGAGATGATTGCAAGACTCTTAGAGGAAAAGAAGGCTGGGACATGCTGCAGGGAAATGTCCGGGATGGCTGTTTTTTTTCCCTGGAACCGCCCACAAAAAAGGACAGATGGTTCATTTGTTACGATCAAACCATGAGCTTTTGTCGCCAATATTGTCCCCGGAGCAGTAATTCTGTTTGCTTCCCTGGATTGTAGATATTTGTAGATGCTGGGCTTGCAAGTTGCATTGAATCGAAGTGATTTTCCTATTTGACCTATTTTGAACTGGGGTTTCTTCGGGTCACCAAGCTGAAAACGAAGAATGGACTTGCACAAACCTTGGAAGTTGCTTTGGCTCCCATGTCCAACTTTTAGGGATTCGTTTTGTATCTATCTATAGTATACATATATATATATATAATGTACCAGGCAGTTACTTCTGCCCTCTAATGGAAGCCACTTAGACCCAAAGTGCCAAACGGTCACTTACAAGATCAATCATGCATAAGTGACCTTGTTTCATGAATCCTTAAGTGACCTCTTTGCCTGGCTGATCTCATGATTTCTGCGTGTCACCTGCGTGTCACTTGCGTGTCACTGGCAGGCCACTGTTTGGTTCGTTTCCTTAAGTGACCTCTTTCTACGTTTTCCTTAACTGACCTCTTTCTAAAGGCCACTTAGCAGAAAACACAAACAAGGTCACAAGGAATCGTCTGGTATGTATAGTTTTGTTGGTTCAGATTTCTTTTTGCAACGGATATATGGAATTGATTGCATGCATTTATATATGTGTGGATATTACACATATATATATATATACATAGATAGATAGATATTGATGTCCATTGATGTGATATATATATATGTCTATTTGTTGGATTCATAGCCATGTAGCGTTGGAAGTTGGACCCCAGGAAATGGCCCAACGACTCCAAGACCTGGATGCTGAGCGACCGGACGCGACGGCTTTGGGAAGATCGGAGCGACTGGCCGCGACGGCCGCGCTCTCCGGCACCGCTGGGACCGAGGAAGCGGCGGGAGACGCGGAGGAGAACGATTGGATGCTGAAGGCTCAGTTGATAGGTGGAGTATATGGAAAATATCTATTGACTATTGGAGGAGTACCCCCCTAATTAATAAACCATGGTTTATTAATCCGGGGTTGACATTATTTACATCTATTTGCCCTCTGGTAAACTTACAAAAAACTATGGAAAATCACCATGCTATGAATGGGTAAATCCACTATTTCGACTGGGCCATGTTCAATAGCTATGTTAGTTTACCAGAGGGTATATGGTGCATCGATATGGTATATATATCTGCGAATATTTTTTCAAAGTCATTGTTAATGGAGAATGATTCATTGGTTTATATACATATCCAATACATAGGGGATTATCATGATCCATATACGGAAATCCCTATTGAATCAAGACAAAGAGACGACAAAGGGTTTGGAACACTGATCAGGTGGAGTTGGAGGAACCAATTTCCTGGCATGAGGTTGAAACCTCTAAGCAGATATCGGTTGATATCTCGTTTTGTTTGGCAATAGTTGATATATGTTGATATTCATTTTATCAGGCAGTGTCTCTTGTTTCGATTTCATTTTCACGGTTTGAAGTTGGAAACCACCACAGGTTCAAGCGTCAATAACCTCCACTTCATCTAGTTTCCCATGACATATCGCGGTTTTGTTCTTCATTTGGTGGGTCTCAATGATAGCAAACAGAATGATTGTGGTACAATCCCTCCGAGAATTGATTTGGGGCACACTTTCCAGATCTTTCTAGATGTGTGGTTGAAAACCCATGGTTTCCGATGTTTTTTCCGAGGTTTTTTTTCCCACCAATCCATGGTTTCCAAGCCTGGTTTCTAGGCGGATCCTGACACGTTGACTCTGGCAGATGCTGAGGGCTTCATTTCCAGGATAACTCTGGGGGAGTCCTTTGGATGGAATTCCCTAACCCAAATGCTCCATGGTGCTGGAAGATTTACCAAGATTTGCACTCAAAATCACCCAGTTATGTAGGTAAATATACCAGCACCATGCAGCATCTAAATAAGAAATAAGATCCCATATGGATCAATTCCCTTATACTGATGGACATGTTGATGGGATTCCCATATGAATGACCACATGAATTTCTAGCCGGATAATAGCCATTCCCATATGAATCCCATTCATAATGGTGGGATGATCATAGCCCATATACTATGTTTGACCATTGTTATTTTTCGTCATCTATCATCTATCAGGATGAAATATAACCCCTTCAGTGTGATGTCACTGGAATGATGCTTGCTAGGGGCTTTAAACTATGGGATAATGTTGGGATAATAGGGCATGTAACCAACACTATTATTTTTCGGGTGTCTCTGAACATGGGGAATACCCATGTACATCCCTCTGTGTCCATGTTAGTAAGGAAAGTGATGATGAAGCATCAGAATTGGGGTACCCATTCGCAGACAAAACCGGATACAATGATAAATCAATTGTTATGAGATGTTATGAGTGTTATTTGACATTATCATGTTACATCATTATCAGACATTATCATCATCATTTTGTAAAAAAATCTGTGCTATATAGTATACTATCATATCTATCATCATCATTTTTAATAATCTGTGCTATATAGTATACTATCATGTTTTGCTTAAACATTTAACTGCGCATGGGTCGGTGGCGTTTTGAACGCTGGATCTAAAGGATACGGTTGCCCTCAATCGGGGTTGAGATGTACCCGGCCTGGTAAACATACAAAAAGCTATTGAAGCCATGGCCCAGTCGAAATAGTGAGTTTTCCCATTAAACAACGGTGATTTTCCGTAGTTTTTTGTAAGTGTTCCAGATGGTATTTGCTTCTCATGTTCTTCTTTTGCAGCGGATGTAAAGCAAAAATGAACAGCCCCCCCTCAAATGTCCTGAATCCATGAATCAATCGCGATGTTTGAAGTTGCAGAAACATACAAGGTCTAAAACTACCACCCGGGGAAAACAATAAAGCATGCATTAGTATAATTTCATATAATGTAATAATGTAATACAAAATAGACGTACCCCAAAATCTATGGTTGATCATCATTAAGATGCAATGTTCTGGATATCACCATTTCAAGACCCAAGTATGATCAAACATCCTATTGTTGATATACCCTATCCCCATATCCCCATATCCGCATCCCCTGTAAATTCCGGCTGCTTAAATCCCCTAAAAAATTGCCAGCCAGGATCGCGACGCGCCGCGACAACGTGCGTGTGCTGCGCAGCTCGCTCTGCGGCGGTCTGCGGCAGCTGGGAGAGAAGCTCTACGCGTCGCCGGTGCATTTCATCGAGGAATTGCTGCAGAATGCAGACGATTGCAGTCACTTGAAGCCTGACATTTACCATCTGGTTATGACTAACAGTTCGCCAAGGAAAATTCCAACCATAAATGGAGGTTTCAAACGCTGGGAAAATCATCTATTTCGATTAGGGCCATCTATACCATGGCTATCCATGGCTATGTTAGTCATAACCAGAGGCTATATCATGGGGATTTCACGAAATCCCAAGGGTGAAGTGTATTGGATCTATTGAAGACTTGGCGTTCCGGTGGTTGGGTGTACACCCAAAAAAAATCAATGGCTCTCGCTATTTTAATCCCATAAAAATCACCATTAATCACCACTATTCACCACTATTCACCAATTATTAGCTATGAGATGTCCATAGAAATTATTCACCATTAATCACCATTATTCACCAATTAATCACCATTATTCACCAAATTAATCTCGCTATTTTAATCCCATTCATCACCATTATTCACCACTATTCGCCAATTATTACCCATTATGCACCAATTATTGGCCATTAATCACCATCAACCCCATTAATCACCACTACTCACCACTTATTGGCATAGAAATAGATCTTTCCATAGAATTTTTCATTATTTACCATTGTAATTTCCATAGAAATTCCAAAAATCTACCACCCAATGGCAGACCTTGGCAGAGGCTATGGCTCCGTCGAGCCGAGCTTCAAGATCGAGGCGACACAAAGTGCCTGTCGCTTCTCCTACAACGAGCTGGGCTTTCGAGCCAAGGAATGGAAGGGTTTTGGGTAGCTCAAACTTGGAATGCTTTTTGATGTTTTTTGATGATTTTGGATGTTTTTTGATGTTTTTGGATGATTTTGGATGATTTTGGATGATTTTGAATGTTTTTTGATGATTTTGGATGTTTTTTGATGATTTTGGATGATTTTGGATCATTTTTGATGTTTTTTGATGATTTTGGATGATGTTGGATCCTTTTTGATGATTTTGGATGATTTTGGATGACTTTGGATGATTTTTGATGATTATTTTGTTGAGAGGCATAGATTTTTGGAGGTTTTTTGTCTCAAGATTGTGGCTGTGATGACTTGATTCATTGTTTTCGATAATGTCTGTGGTTTTCCCCGTGAGTCCCGGTATGGTTAAGGCCCCTCAACCCGAAGCCCATAGCTGCAAACATGAGAAGAACATAGCCGGCCTCTGGTAGTCTAACTTAACATAGCATGGAAAATGGATGACAACTGCATTAAATTATAGATTACTTACCTATTAGAAATGGTGAATAGCTATGGGCTATGGCAGCTATGTGAAACTAACAGAGGGTAGCCTTATTTTGGGCGATGGCAAGATCATGATGGGAAGCTCAACGTTCAACGTCACTCTTGGGTTGGTTTCAAGCTCCTTTCTTTGTTCCATCTGTGACCAGATGATGTTCTCTCGAATTGACTTCCATGATTTTAGGCGGGTGGCTCAACCACCAGATGTTTACTCTGTACGAGTACATTGAATAGTCTCACGTATTTGTTCTTATTTTCTGGCTTCAAAAACGAGCTTTAGTAGATCATTTCATTATATTCCATGCAAACTTTCTCCAAACAACATGAACAAAATATGTTAGCAAGCAAAGCTATAGCTTTATGGTCAATTCATATATCTCATGGCCATAATTATAAAATATAATGGTTAATCATTCCCATCCAAAAGCAATGGGATTATGAACTATATAACATTATAAACTATCGTACCAAAATGAACCACATAGTGGGTCCAAAAATAGAATAGCTAAACTATTCCAAATAGTTCTTCCAAAATGGTTAAAATAATTGTTATCATACCAATCTTGTACAATGGTATGAGACATTGGTTTTGAAGTCATAATACCATTATTCTGAAATATTTTGCCCAATGATGCCCAATGTTATAATCATAGCAATATTGCAAAGTTATCATACCACTATATATCTTATATATGTAGTATAGATCAAATTTGGGTACCTCAGTCATATCCAGTAATTAGATGCGTACTAAACATATAACCCCAGTAATTAGATGCTTACCCCATCAATGGGAATTTCAGGATCCTAAAATGGAGGTACCTACCATATAAGGCCTTTTTTAGGGCTATGTAAGGGGGTATCCCCCCAAAATATGGCCAGAAATATGGTACTAACGTACCTCCATTTTAGGATCCTGGAATTCTCACTGACCCCAGTAACATATACATGGCAGTGTGTCAAAACCTTGTACCCCTTCTGTTCACATCAAAATAGCTGGTAAATGGATGTAAATGGATGTTCATCCCCCTAAAAATGGTATTAATAGGTATTGATCCATACCCACATGTTATAAAATATCAATTCCCATTGACCCCAGTAACATATACATTTCAATCTGTGGTGAAACCCGTCTCCAGGACGTCTTGTCCTTGTGCTCGCTGGCCGTTTCGACGAAGACCTTTGGGGACTTCTTAGGGCACAAAGGTGGCCGCGGCGATTGGGAGGATTTCTGGGCAGCTTTTTTTGGGGGGATTTATCGCCATAAATGGGGAAACCATAGAAAAACCCATAGGAAATGAGAATTGATGTGGATTTAGAAGGGGTTTCTATGGGGATTTATATAGGGATTTATATGGATTTGTTGAGTTATAAACCCTAGTCATTGGAGTTGTTGTTCTGTCTTTTTTTCGGGATTGATGAGGATATAATGGAAGTAGAACCACTAATAGTTAGTTAAGTTGGCACACATATCACTCCAATATCTACTGGGTCTACTGTATATTGAACTATGGTCAGTAGAAGTTACAAAGAACTCAGTGAGTAGAGTAGATGATAGCCAGGAGTATTAGATGTTTTTATAATCCAGAACTCATCCATGATATACATATATATATTGATATATATATATAGATATATAGATATATAGATATATACCTGTATATCTGGCGGATGGTTTGACATCAATTATGATTGGCATCCGCTTCTTTTCGTTAAACCAGGCGTTGGTTTCAAGTCGGTCTTCGCGTGCACCTTGGCGGAACGGACCGTGAGGCTCTTAGTAAAAATCACCATTTTTAATAGGTAAGCCATCTATAAATGGGCCATCTATACCATGGCTATGTTAAATAACCAGAGGGTATATATATATATATTAAATATAGTTCCTATATAGTTCGTTATAGTTAATTAATGTAGTTGCTTAATATAGTTAGTTTCTATAGCTATAGCTATAGATAATATATTCTGACGAGCTTGAAGTTGTGCTTTGCGTCTGGCCTTGACGATTTTATGACATCAGCTGTCCCATCACTTGACCCATAGGGAAATGTAGGGACATATCACATAAGGCAACCCCAAAATAGATGGAAAAGTTGAACACCTGGAAATATGAGGTCAACATCATGTACATTGTATGTATGCCCTCCTGGCAGCATTTCTTTTCTTAGTTTCTTTGGGTAGTTCTACCATCATGTTCCGTATCAGAATGTTCAGAAAATGGGGTGGAACAATCCATTGCATGTTGTTGGCTACGTACATAATACAATGTATATACAATGATATACATAATACGTTATGTGTATATATATATGATATTACACTATTTCAATATATACACAACGCATATATTTACAATATATATATATATTATATACATATATATATACAAGTATGTATACATACGTACAATATTTTGTGGAGCTTTCACGAATTGGGTATGATTGGTTCCAGGAAAATATAGGACACTTCACCATATTCGATGAGTGGAAAACAGAAGGTTTCCCGTAGATTTCCAGTAGATGTTCCCTTCCAGCGTCTAAATTCCTTGTTTTTGTGTATCATCATGTTCATCATCAAAATGTCACAACTTTTGGGTATATATCATCCCCACTTTTGAGACAATATCATGTCATATGGTTGGTGGTTTATCCGATTTTTAACCTCGTATTCAGATCCTATTATTTTTGTGAAAAATGGTTGGTTTGATGCCGAGCTTTGCTGATCAAATCATCTCTTTTCTATTAAACTTGCAGAAGATAGGACATTTTCTTTTGGTTGTATCATTCACAGAATTGGATGACGGGACAATTTACAGGAAACCCCTATATTTGATGGTAAAAACCATGCTTTCCTGTAGATTTTCCCTTAAACCAATCCATTGAATCATGCTTAATCACCATAGTTGGTTCATTCCATATTTTTGTTGGCTAAATCTTCATGGTTGGTTAAAAACCACAGTTCTGTTGGTAAAACCAGCCATCTTTCGGAATCTTTCGGAGGTTCCAATGCCCCTTGTATCGTCTCGGGGAAGTTTCGTTTCAAGTTCCAAGTTCCAGGTCACTCCAACCGGGGACCGGTTGATGGGAATACAATGGGAATATGATTGGGAAAACACCTCTATATGGGATGATAGTGACCATATAGTCCCTTCATATCACCATGATGTCTTATTTAATTATGTTTATTTATAAGTTATATTAGTTACATCCCATTAATGTGGGTAAAACAATGCCATAAACCACCCATTTATGGGAATGGTAACCATACCACCTATCAAAATGGTGATGACTGGGGGATGGTTTATGACATTGTTTTACCATGTTTTACCCACACTATTTGGGATGATAATGACCAAATGGTTGGTTCATGTGATTGTTTACTATTGGGTTTCCCACATTAAATGGGATGTCGACCAACAATGGATGTTAGTAATATTAGGGGAGTGTAGTGGGATATATGACTTATACAACAAACCATCATGGTGATATAATGATGGTATAGTGGCATATAACGGGAATATAAGGGGTATATAATTACAATGGGAATATATCCTTTATAAACGGTCGGTGATTCAATCGGATATTCATGGGGGTTGATGGGGATACAATTGAAGGATATTATTTTGGTATGGGACTACTATATGACTGGCAATTCTGAATAATCTATCCATTCTGGGATTATTAGATGAAAATGGGGATGGATTTGAGTACCCGCTTCGTCGTCATCAAACATGGAATAAATTGCTGGGACATCCCTTGTGCGTTTCTGGCAATGGTATTGATAGGAGATCAATACCCCAAAGTGGCCAGCAAGTTTTTTTGAGCCCAAAACCTGCCTAATTTCTAGGGTACATCCTTTAGGTTCTGTGACAGTTTCGGGGAAAATGAGGAAATACCACGAGTTATATGATCGGTTTATATCGGTTTAATCCCATCATTTCCCTTGTAAAAGGGGTAAATTTGCGGGCAATAGTTAGGCCAAATTTCCTGCAGAATGAAGTTACAGTGAATTTTTATAATTTTCATCTTTGTTCAATTGTTGCCAAGTTCATACCGATGAACATGCATGTTTGTGTAAGTGCCCACCAGGGCAACATATTTATTTGTTGGCGAATTTGTGCTGGCAAAATTTTGCCGGCGAAGTTTGCGGCGAAGTTTCTGAGTAACTATGTAGTGTGAGTATGCGGCGAAGTTTGCGGCGAAGAACTGGCCAAATTTTTCTTTGCTTTTATTTTCCTCTTTAAAAGAATCTTCACCAGCATCAAGGCCCCAAACCCAAAAGAATCCAGCAAGCGGCAAAATTTTCTCCACCAAATATATTCATTCAAATCCTTGTCGCGCAATTTGGATTATCAATTTGTGGGGCCAGTTTTTGATGCAGCGCCTTTCAGAGTGGCTCACGTCCCCGATTGCAGGTTTAGGTGGCTACAGCAAGGATCATGTTTTTTTTTTTTTACCCAAAAAAAAGTGTGCAGGCACTTCTGGGGAACACTTGGTCCAACAATAGCAGTACAACTAACATAGCTATGGAGAACGGCCATGTATAGATCATAAATGATGATTTACCTTTACTAAAAATGGTGATTTCCCATATAGCTATCCATAGCTCTGTTAACTATCAGAGGGTAATCCCCATGTTGAGCCCCACCAGATTCGACGAACTCTTTGCTGGGCTGCAGGAATCGACGAACTCTCTTACATTACACCACGTTGGCTCGACGACGTGTCATGGTTTGAAAGGGATCCCAAGAAGTGTGCGGCTTAAGGGGTGCTGGTGGTTGGAAACCTCCGTTTGACGGGTAATTTCTAGACCAAAACATACGAAACCAAAAATGACATTTGAATGAAGAAAATATGATCATATGATCATAATTCATGATAATCCATGGTAATGGGGGTACCCCATTTTCAGACAAACCCATGTCATCGACGCATGAACTATCGAGCTGCATTGGAGTGGTTGATTTGATATGATATGATTTTAAAATGTTTGGAAAAAATGGTTAAACAAATTAAATCCACAAGCTTGGCTTCTGGCCATCAAATCATCTCGTTCATTATAAGCAATCGGAACTGTTCTCTTCATGGATGGCTTTGGGACATCCCCGACCGGTTGTGACCTCTGGAAAGGTAGTGGTACGTACAGTTATGGCCCCAGTTATAAGGCAGTCATATATGGAATGATATGGAATGATAATCATCAGAAATCACCATCTGGTTGGTGGTTTGGAACATTTCAATTCTTTTTTCATCTATTGGGAATGTCATAATCCCATTTGACGAACTCCATGATTTTTCAAAGGGGCAGCTCAACCACCAACCAGTTATCTATATAGGCATTATAGGTATTATAACCACTATTATGATATGGATGTGGGTCAAACTGGAAGACCTAGGGGACCACAGATGTTAGTCTAGTTTAGTATTAACCATCCAATTATTGGGGTACCTAATTTTGACCCATACCCATATAATCCCACTATTGATGATTATCCCATTATAATCCCATCATAGATATATTATTAACCATCATTAACCATAGGTCCAAGGCTAAGGCGCATGGCCCGTATGGCCTTGGAACGGAGGGGACGCAGATTTGGCTTCCCTTCCGGCCTGAGCTGTCGGGCAACCAGGTGAGCTTCACCGCTTTAGGGGGTTGGAGGTGTAGCGGAATTCAGCCATAATATGGATACAATATGATACAATAAATGTATACACGTGTATATATATATGTATATCATATATATATATGCACATGTATATTAGATATATATATATATATGAAGGTATGCAACTATTTGACATCAATCTAGCTGACATGAATAGACATTGAAGAAGCACAGACCGAGGTTTTGAATTGAATATGGCCCCAAAAATGACCAACATTTGATTTGATGTTGATGTGGCTCAAGGCATGGCACAGAACAACACATATCACGGAACTCTGCATCTCCGCTCCAAGTTTTGGTAGAGCAACTGGCAGGGATGGTTTGTAAATGGAGCTGGATCCATATGTGTAGTCTAGGCTCAACATCTTCACCCCTCAAACGATGCGATTTGTTGCCCCTTTTTGGGTCAACCAACCCGTAGAATATAGAACCAATCCTCAGTATAGAGGTTTTTTGAAACCGCTGGAAGCCACCAAGTTCAGTGCTAGAGTCAGTCCGTGGGGTACCCATTTTCATCATGCATTTTTTTCGTATTTGTTCAAGAACAGATGCCCGCAGTGGAGCTTCAATCGATTTCTGGCGGTGTGATTCATTATTTCCTGGTGGTTTAAAAAAGACAACACCACGCCCCATTTTTCCGATGATGTTCCCATGTTACCCCAAGGCCCCCATAGGGATTTCCCAGGGCAAAATTGGATGACAGGACTTCTTGGAGAAGTTGCGCTGTGCTGTGGACCCATTGGTGCTGCTAGGCCTGCGCCAATTGAGGCGTTTGAGCTTTCAGATGGAGGGAGAAACGCAGGTGGGGAAATGGGCGGCTTGGAATGAGTCAAGGTTGGGTCAAAACATAGGCTAAACACGGGAACATCGAGTATGTTCGAATATCACCGGAGATGGCTCTGAAAATAGGGCAACTATCTCCCAGATCTCATGGTTGAGAAAAAATATAATGTTCACCCTGAAATTTGCGAATCCCCAAGAATTGCTTATGTTTTGACAAACTCAAATTATATATATATACTGTTGGCATCTGTTGACTATACACTCCCCCTAGTACTTTCTCATGGTTCCCCGCAACTTTGTTGGTTAAATTGTTCGTGGTGGATAGATGTACAACCCCCCAAACGATAGACCGATGGACGAGTGAAATCCTACTGAGACAGTGGGAAAACCCTCAACTCCTGAGAATCGCCCCACATCTCTGTCGATTAAGTCACCATAAGTCACCGGATTGCAGCATGGATATCCCCATTTTGGTTATACATGGATTCCAATGGTGGATATACCCGTAATTTCACATAGCCATGGAACACAACATGGCCAGTGTCCATCGTCAGGTGGCGGCTCACTTGACCAAGACGGCGGTGGAAGATTTTCGAGAGATCAAAACCTGGAAGGCATGTCTCCGCATCAACGAGCCTTGGATTCGTTTTTGGTTATTTAATTAGCAGAAGTAGGGATGTAGCCAGCGAAAAAATGGGAATGATTGATGGTGAAATATGGATAAATATGGGGCTATAATATATAATATATAATATATAATATATAATATATAATATATAATATGAAATATATATATATATAACAATATATAACAATATGTAACATTATATAACATTATATAACAGCACAGGTAAATGGTACACAGCACCCAACACATTCTTGCCGTTTAGTTTGAGAACAATGTTAATGAAAGAAGGTCTTTGGCCCCTTCTTTTTGGGTACTTTGGTACAGTATATGTTCCGGTCATTTATCTGGCTTTCTCTGAAAATGGCGCAATCCCCAATTCCAAAGTTTTCCTCATCTTCAGTGTTATATAATACCAGTTGCGTTTACAGACACTCTTATTTCACCATCTAAATTAGCATCAAAGGATGAGCCAAATGCGTCTTCATTATTCACAGAATAGTTTGTATGATTAGCAGCTGCGTCAACTTCGTGCATTCTAATCATTCTTCCCATGTGGCACTGTTTCATAAGTTTTGTGCTATGCCCTATGTTTCATATCATATTGTTGGCAAAGAAAAAAGAGTGTGCATTATGTATATATATATATTATACCACTAGAATATCCTCATAATTCATCATAATTCCCCATATTTATGTATATATTCATGTTGTTTTTTCTGTGATATCTCCATCGATCTCACTTTTGGTTCACTTTTCCCAGGACCAGGACCACCTCTACCGGCTCTTCTCCTACGGCGCGGGAAAGGCCGTCCTGGCCTTCCCCGCCGCGCCAGGGCCGGAGCTGCCGGTGTGCGCTGGGCTGCCCTGCGCGCGGGTGGGGCATCGATTTCTTCTGCAACTGGGATATCTATCGATCGATCTATCCATCCATCCTACCTATTATCTATCTATATCAATCTATATAAATATATCTACAGTATATCTATCTATATCTCTAAATCTATCTATATCTATTTGTATCTATATCTATCTCTATATCTATCTCTATATATATATATCTATCTATCTATATCTATCTGTATCTATATCTATCTCTATATCTATCTCTATATCTATCTCTATATCTATCTCTATATCTATCTCTGTATCTATCTCTGTATCTATCTCTATCTCCATCTATCTCTATCTATCTCTATCTATCTCTATCTATCTCTATCTCTATCTATTTCTATCTATCTATCTATCTATCTATCTGTCTGTCTATCTATCTCTCTCTCTATCTCTATATCTCTATATCTCTATATCTCTATATCTCTATATCTCTATATCTCTAAATCTCTATATCTCTATATCTCTATATCTCTACATCTCTATATCTCTATATCTCTATATCTCTATATCTCTATATCTCTATATCTCTATATCTCTATATCTCTATATCTCTATATCTACCTATCTATCTATCTATCTCTCTCTCTCTCTCTATATCTCTATCTATCTATCTATCTATCTGTCTGTCTGTCTGTCTGTCTGTCTGTCTGTCTGTCTGTCTGTCTGTCTGTCTCTGTCTCTGTCTCTAACTCTATCTCTATCTCTATCTATATCTATATCTATATCTCTCTCTCTCTCTATCTCTCTATCTCTCTATCTCTCTATCTCTCTATCTCTCTATCTCTCTATCTCTCTATCTCTCTATCTCTATATCTCTCTATCTCTCTATCCATCCTATCCATCCTATCCATCCTATCGATCCTATCGATCCTATCCTATCCATCCTATCCATCCTATCCATCCTATCCATCCTATCCATCCTATCGATCCTATCGATCCTATCGATCCTATCTATCCTATCTATCCTATCTATCCTATCTATCCTATCTATCCTATTTATTTATCTATCTAACCATCTATCTATACCTGGATCTTCAAGTGCTACATTAATTTTTGCTCACCCCTCATTTGCAATTATTTCCACTGAATGGGCACTTTCAACCTAAATCGATCATTATTCATTAGTTCGGTAATGTTTATTGTTTTGAGCTTCATGAGGGGGTTGTGAGGGACCGGTTTGCCCAGCTGAGCATTTATGCAACTACACGTGCTCATATGCATATGCTTAGCAATTCAGTTAGCAATTCAGTTAGCAATTAGGAATTCATGGATGCTATACACATTTTTGCAATCCGAGCGTTCCCCAAAGTGATACACAAATAACTGTATCAGATGAGGATATAGGTAGTGTATATATATATATATATATGTGATATATGGATATCATACACATATAAATAAATATATATATATATATATATATTATCATATTATATATAGTACCTGCCATGCAGATATCGCACTCCATGTTCGGATATTTGACTTTAACATGGTTTACGTCGTGGGGAACCTGGCTCCTGGGACTTGGTCCTGGGACCTGGGCCAAGGCAAGCAAACTGGCAGTTGACCACAAGCCGTGAAGCCGTCCGGGAGAGCGTTGAAAACTACCAGTTGAGGTCGGAGGCTGCGAAGCTGTGCCTTGATATGATGAGGTCAGCAGAAAGGATGGCTAGATATGGCTAGCAGGGGGATGATCCAAACATATTTTAATAAAATTGGTGTTTTTCTGATTTGAGATGTCATAATATGCCCAGCTGAACGCAACATGAAAACTCGCTGCGTCCGGTCTTTGTTAAGGTAAACCCATGGCTGTACCATCCATCCGGGGACCCCCAAACCAGCTACAGTAACCCTTTCTTCACTCACTAAAAATCTGATTGATTGGTCAGTATAGGGAGGTAGAAGACTTGCATTGTTAGACATATTTGGGGATTCTATTAATCATAACTTCTAATATGATGAATGATTAAAACCCCTTTATTAGGGAAACCTATGGGAAACTGATCAATCTTACCCGAGCCAGCTGAGGTTTTGTGTGGCCGCAAGACATCCAGACATCTTGCCTCACCTCGCACTCTTCCTCCCTGCGACAGGTGTGGGGTGGCCATGAATCGATGGGGGAAAAAAAACAATGACAAACACGATTTATAGATACCAATCTCATGATTGCAATATGACCTTAAACCATATAGTAAAGCCAAAAAAATACCCAATTAAGTGATAAACTGCTTGTAATTTCTGAATATTTCACCCAATCATTCACAAAGCGCACCGCAATGGTCACTCCCTTAGGCCTAGGCCCTGCCGATCTATTCTGAAATTCTCCAACTTTTACATCACCGGAGTTCGTTAATGGGGGGTTCCTAAAATGGGGCTACCCCAAGTCACCATGGGTTTCAATTGTTATACTGAAATGGTCTATAAAAAATAACTTGGATGATTTGGGGCTTTGGCTATTTTTGGAAATACCCAATATTTTTTTTAAAACCATTTACTGTATGATGGTGTGAGAGAATATTTGCCCAAATATATATATATAGGATTATATGTATATAAGAGTATATATATATACTTATATATTATGGATATATAAAACCTCTGCATTCTGCTATAGTGCAAGACTCAGCACATTTTGGTGCTTTGGGCTCTGGACTCATGGCATGCTGGATTTTTTTATTTTCTCGCAAGTTCCATGATTTTCCCACATGAATGCCCATCTAGTCCGTGGATTTCCCAGCAATCTCCTTGTTTGATTAAGCCCAAAATTGATCCATCTCCATTTTCATCCCATGGATAGGTTCTACACAATTCACAAAAATAATCGCCAAAAAAAAAAACTCTGAATAGTTATCCCATAGTTATCCCATAGTTATCCCATAATTATCCCCCAGAAAACGTAGCCAGCACTGCAGGTCCCGGCACACCGCCCTTCTGGCAGACCTTCGCTGAAGAGCTGCTGCACGAGCTGCGCTTGGTGCTCCCGGAGCTGGGCCTGGGGCTCGGAGCGACGGCGACGCTGCGGCTGCCAGAGGAGCGGATCATGGCCCTGGTGGAGCCGCAGGTGGAGATGGGATCCAGACCTATTTGGTCTAAATGGGATGTTTATTTTAAAAAGATCTGAATGGTGGATCCCATGAAAATATATGAAAATATCAATTATAAATTATACCAGTTTCCCAATTGTTTCATGGGATGTTTATAGCAGTTTTCCAATGGGATCGCCAGTTGGTCGCCAGGTCTTTGTGGCTGCGGGCCTGGAGCTAGTGCAAGATGAAGCCGCACAGCTGGTGATGCAGAAATGTGGCATCCCAGCGCTTGGCATCGCAGATCTCTTCGCGTGCTTCCCACACTTCGAAACGCTTGGCATTGTGAAGCCGGAGTCTTGACTTCGCGAAATCTTGGAAGAATGGATAGAAGAATGGATAGAAGAATGGATAGAAGAATGGATAGAAGAATGGATAGAAGAATGGATAGGAAATCTTGGGTTGATTAGTCTCTGGGAAATCTTGGAAGAATGGATGAAGAATGGATAGAAATGAAAGTTGACTCATGGAAAGAGTCTTTCAGCCAGTAAACCATGTGTCATAGAGAAAATTATGGAAAAAAACACCCAAATTCCAATGGTTGATTCTTGTATTCCTGATGGTCAAATGATTTCGATGAGGATTGGAGATCCATGACTGGCGACATTTTGTTTGATGGGATGGATGACAGTTGGTTGCTCCTCAGTGGGACATTGCGGAGGTCTGTGTTTTTGTATGTCTTGTAAGATCTTGTGAGACTTTTAGCTGAGAAAACACTCGCAACATGAACAATTTCCATGGCTTTCAAACATTCAAAAACTTTAATGCCTTCCTCTGTTTGTCAATGTCCATTCAGTTTCCATGATATTCAACACTTTTCAAGCTTCCAACTCACAACATCCCACCATTTCATGGCAGCCGAGTGGCTGGGTTTCTGAGGAGAGCTGGTGGGCTGAATTGTTTCAGTTGCTCCTGGAAAATGCTGGCAAACCCCAGCTGGAAGAGCTGGTAAAGAGACACTTGGCTACGTTTGGCGAGGGTTTTGCTTACTGTTTAGTTGTCATCGGAGTAATTGAATTGTTAGTTACTCTCTGGTAATTTAACATAGCTGTTGAAAATGGCCATTTATAGTGAGTTTTCCCACTAAAAATGGTGATTTTCCATAGCTATGTTAAATTACCAGAGGGTAATTAATGATTCGGTTGCATCCGCATGTTTGGTTGATCAAAAAGGCGTCATGGTATATGATTTGTGGATCACTTCACAGTGAATTTCCTTGGGTCTCACATCAGCTGGTAGCTATTGATGTTCACGTCCCCATTCCTGTGGGAAAGACCATCTGCGGGCTAGGAGCGCTAGGGCTAGGATTAAGGTCAGTGTAGGTTGAGGGACGCAGGATGGATTTCCGCATCTGAAATTTCTGTTTTTCTTGATGAGATATAGGTATAAATATGTATAAATAAATAAATAAATTGATGAATATTATATATATATTTATTTGTACATATTATACAACTTGAAGAAAGTCAACATCCAAGTCCCAGCGGTGTTTCCAGCGTCCTCAAAAATTCGCGTTGACTTTGGCCGCCCCGGGGATCCATCAACCAGGACAGCCGATTTGGTGCCTTCGGGGGTCGGGTCGACGATGCTGTCTTCCCGAGAACGGCGAGATCGTCTTTTGCTCCGTGCCTGGCATTTTTTGGTGAACGACACCGACAGGTTCTACGCTTCATCTTGGGTGAATTCTAAAAATGGGGTTTGACACCGCTCTCCAAGTCAAGCCATTGATCTTTGTTGATTCGATTCATCCGAGGATGACAAGCACATATGGTTGGGAACAGGAGAGCGGTTACATACAAGTGGAGAGTAGCAGCCGGCTCTGTCTGAGACGGGTGCGTATCGTTTCACCTGGCTGCCTTTTGTTTCCACGGTCCTAGTTGAAAGACGATCCTAGGGTATCAAAATTTGAGATCCTCTGGCTTGGAGCAACCATGGTTTCATAGGCATTTCATAGGCATTTGAGGCCTATTTCTAGGGAATCTAGGAAAGCAGAAAGACACTATCCAGCTCAAAATCAACCTCTTTTTTCTGGCTATTTGGGCTTTTTTTTTCGTATCCATGTCAATCGGGGGGATCCAGGTGCCCACGTCATTTTCGAAGTCCTGGAGGTCTCAGGTGGTTTTCTTGGAGCCTCGTCATAGATCGATCTGATGAAGCCGACTGGGTCCGACATGTACCAACCGTTTACCAACCAGCTAAACATCCTCTAAAATTTGCAGGGTATCTAAGATTGGCCATGAGATCAGCACTTCACACCAGTTTTTTTTTTTTTTTCGGTAGATGTATTGGACAAAAAGAAATGGCCACACATATTAGCCTTGGTTGGTGATCTTTCAAGTGTGAGCAGCCGAGGACCGTTCTGTTTTGGGATGTGCATAGCAGGATAGCAGGGTGCCATGGCCCATGCCCATGTTGATCCTATCCCCATGTTTGTCAGCAAAGTCATCGCAAGGTTTCGACCGGTTTTCATGAAAGTTGAATCCACACCGTCCCCTTGCAGTATCTTTTTGCATTTCTGTTATCAGAAAAGATACGGACATCCATTGGTTGACATCTTTTTTTCTGTGCATGATACTGTGGTTGTCAGTCTTTGACAACCGGTTTACCGTTTACAACTGGGTAAAAAACCCTGGTTTTGACAACTGGTTGTGACCACACTCCTGTAGCAGGGATTCACCCCGAAGATGGCTGCTCCTCTTTCCGTTGTGGCCATGAAACACGTTCGTTGGTGATTCCAGCATCAATTTGAAGACATCACAGTTCTGAAGCTTGGAGGAAACACCATGCAACACCTCTGCCCAATGATTTTCCTGAGAACTTTCCCAAATCAGGGCACATCGATCAGGACACCCACAGCACCGCTGAGCTGCGCTTCGCGCTCTTGACGGTGGCCAAGACTTGGGATGCCACTGTGATGGCTGCAGCTGTTGCTCGGGCTGAGGTGTCAACCATGGTTTTTCTGGGGGATTGGACCATATATTTGGGACCATGGGGGAGAATGGGGGTGAAAAAAAAATGGGAAGGGATTGAATGTCCCATTTTAAAGGTGTGTGTGTTTCCTTAAGTATCACGATGTTCAACTGAAACATGTCACCCTTGCATTTCTGATGAGTGGATATGACTGGACATGTGGAACATCTCATGAAAATTCATGACCATAAACCGCCTTCTGCGGGATTGGTTTTCAATACCCATCAAATGATAAGGTAAATGGGGTATGGCATGGTTATTGGGATTAGCACCTTACATCCAATCCCATCCCCTAGATGTGTATCCTAATATTAAGTACTCCCAATTATCAGGTAGCCGAAAATGGCAACCATTAGATCCGCTACTCAACCAGGCCCATGTTTGGTAAAGGCTTATGATTTATCATGACAATCTACAAAGCATCCCATCCCTCTACTGTAATACTAGATGGAACGATTTAGAGGCTGCTTATGAATGTTTACGTAATATTGTGAATAGCTTCAACATTTAGGCCAGTTCATCCCCCTATTGCTAGTTATTGCTAGTTAAACCATCTGCTTTGGTTCCATATTAATTCAAATATATTCAAATAACCATCTATACTGGTTGGTGGTTTCATACATTTCTTATTTTCCATTTCATATATGGGATGTCATCCCAAACCCATTGACGAACTCCATCATTTTGCAGAGGGGTGGTTCAACCAGCAACCAGAGAACAACGGCCATCCCTGTGGTGTCATTGTTGGAAAAGCCATGCGACTGGGGCAGGACTTCACTGTTGATACCATCCAGAAACCATGGTGCTTGTAGTCAATGGGAATGACTCAGGATCCAACAGATGGAGGTACGTAAACGTACCATATTTCTGGGCATATTTTCTAGGGATATTCCCTGAACATTGGGCCTGAAAAATAGGCCTTATATATGGTAGGTACCTCCAATTTAGGTTCCTGAAATGTCCGTTGATGTAGGGGATGAAATCACATATTTAGGACCATACTATGTGGGGTGTTTAATATGAACGGGGGAGGGGATTACTGACAATTGACTTTTTTACATGACACACATTACACATCAGTATCAATACCTTTGATCATGTTTACACTTCTGATACTGATACGTTTTAAATTGGTCGATTGAATGGTTTGTTACGACAGGGGCCTTAAATCAAGGCTCCAATCCACTGTGGACTGGTGTTTGTCAGTCGATTGGACCCGTCACTAGATATCAAGGAGGTTACGACTTAGCAATTATCCTAACCAACTCCGAATGGCAAGCCCACATTCAGGCACGCTTTTCTGCAGTTTCTTTCTGATGCATAATATTCTATAATATTCTCTATATATATATATATCTATTATACAATGTACATATTTATATATACAGATGTGTAATACATATTTATATACACAGATGTGTACACACGTGTATGAAGCCTGTGAATAATCTTGTAGAACACACATGTAAGTGCCACATGTGTATATGTTGCTCATAACAAATGCTAAGTATATTACTGATGCTGTAAGCTATATCATTTACACTCATGTTATACATGTCGTAGTATATGTTAACATTAATAGATAGAACATATAATAATAGGCGGTAGTTGTTTATTTATCATTTGCTGTATTCAATTTTACACGTGTGTTATATATATAATATTTTTTGTGTGTAGCACGTTGTATGTGTATGTCTAGAACGTTGTGCAAGGATGTTGACACATACATACAGTTTGCTTTGCCATGACTTTGTTACTTCTGGAAACTTTATTACATTTATATATACCCGCATATCATTGACTATACATGGCTACACTGAATACTTTCTGTATTGACGTGGTTTTAAGTGCTTTATATATGATTTTATGTTTATATGCACTGCGGTAATGTAATGTAATGTAATGTAATGTTATGTAATGTTCTGCAATGTTCTATAAGGTTCTGCTATGGTATGCTATGGTATGTGTATATATATATATTATATACATACCTATGTGTTTCGCTGATATTCATGCCATCATAGAACATTACACATTCACGATATTATATATCACAGGACATGTATATATATATATATGCATACATACAATTAATTAATATAACATTGTATCTATATGTACAACATATTGTGCTGTAGTATAGTTTTTTGTCACATACATGGCTGATGTGTTTCATCCACCCATTCGAAAATGCCCATGGGCACCTGAGGTTCTGCACTGCCACTTGGAACTGCGAAGAGATGAATTGAAGGTGGATGAGGCTCCGGGGGATTGCTGCGGGTTTGTTTGCTGGGTGATTTGATGGGGATTTCATGGGATTTAATGGGATTTCATGGGATTTAATGGGATTTAATGGGATTCAATGGGATTTAATGATTATTTACCCTAGGGTAAAGTAACATATAGATGATGAAAACCCCTGGGGAAAGCCTAGGAAAATGACGGATCCATGGTGCTGGTATATATGCGAACATTGGGGGTATATTGATGGGATCCATGTTACCATATATAGCAGCACCATGGATCCTATGGGTAACTTGTTGAGAATGCTTGTGCCATATGTGTTTTCCAGATGTTTGATTCGCGGTTCCGCCAGGCGCTGCGAGGGCTCCTGTGGCGGGACTTGGACTTTTTGAAAAACGTCTGGGATGAGCTGCGCCAGCTTCCAGTAGAGGTGCCCGCAGCGCCAGGTGGGGAAACCTTTTTTTTTTTGTTTTTCTTTCGGGGAACTTTTTTGTGAGATTTTTGAAGAAGGTTTGTTGGCTATGGAACCAAGAGATGGGGATATTGTTCTATAATTGTTCTATATTTTATGGGTATATACTGTATACACACTCCGCATAGAATTCATATATCATAATCATATATTATTATAAATATATATATATATATATACACCACTGAAAATTGGCATAAAATCTGGATCTTGTCCAGAAAATTTAATGGGATATCGACACTACTCTCCAGGTGAAATGGCCCTGGTTCCCAGCGACCACGGAGCCTCCACGGCGTGTCTGACGACGGTGCCCACGGTGTTGGGTGCCTTGCGCTCCGCGCGGCTTGGGATGGGATCTTTTTGATCATCCAAAATGGGGATTTGACCATGAGAAATGGTGGTATAATGATGGTATAGTGGGGATATAACGGGATAATCAATGATCACTATAACCAGTATATATATATATAGTCATGAATCTAGTCTACCCTCCTAGACATAAAACACAACCATGGACATCCATGGGTCTCCCGTTGGGAAATCACTTGTTGAATGTGTTGTGGAGGCGAAAAGGCCGCAGCAAAATTGGGTGATTAATTTTTTTTCTGGGAAATCCGTGGATTTCGAATCTATGTCAAAGGGTAAACAACAAAAGTGGGGATTCAATTAGGAACATATATATGTGGATTTACCCTCTGGTAATTTAACATAGCTATTGAAAATCACCATTAACATAGCTATTGAACCTATTGAAGCCCCAGACGTGGCAATTGTTCAAATCCCCATAGATGATGTTTCCATATTAAACCATTTAAAACCTCTATTTGGGTATGTCTGAAAATGGGGTACACCCCCAATGAAATAGCCATTTAGTAGGGATAATCACTAACCATTGGGAAAATGGGGTGTTCTCTATTTTCAGACAAACCCATATATATACCCTCTGGTAAACTAACATAGCTATTGAACATGGCCATTTATAGTGGATTTTCCCATTGAAAACGGTGATTTTCTATAGTTATGTTAAATTACCAGAGGGTATGTGGATTTCGCCAACAAGGCGAGGTTGAAGCAACATACAGTTGAAGGAGCCACCAACAAAGTGAACATTTAAGCGACAAGCATTGTGAGTGTTTAACCAATAAGCACGGAAATATACGGGAATTAAGAAACAAAAATAACGAAAATGATGGTCTTGCACATTTTATTGGGAACACCGCAAAAACCAGCCCAAAATCCTGGAAAGGACCTTGGGGCTGACTTATATATACGTCGATTCTGTATACAGCATATATTCATATATATTCTGGAAATGATCATCAAATGATTAATATTTGTAATTTGCAGTAGTAGTAAATTAAGCTACTAGCAGCGATTATGATATAGTTTTCCAGTGTTTCCAAACATCATGCCACATCTCCCATAGTTGATTGAAGATAAATACAGAAATCCCATGAAATCCCCATCAAAAGCTGGTAAGTTTGCTGGGTGGTGAACAGTTTTTCCATCCTTTTTTTGGATAAGTTTGCCTTCAAGCCATCCATAGATTTCACCTCCAGGTTGCAAAGTTCCGCTTGTGACCGGCTGCGGCTTCGGTTCTGCGAGTCCAGTGGCACTTCCCTATGGAGATGTGATGGTGGGACTCCAGGAAGATGGGATGGTCACAACACACTGGGCTCACCACAACAATTCGATGCGGACCTCATTGGACCTCCGAAAAAAACACACAAAAATGGGGAAAATAAACACATTGGACCTGCTGATTTATGATTTTTATATATTTTTATGGCATTCTAAAGGACTTGGAACTGGATATTCGACCAGTCGACCGGACCCGGATGGATGCAGATCCAGCGTCAGGTGGTGTCAGAGGCCATTGCATGGGAGGATTTTCTGCTGAATCTTGGATGATGTGGATGGTCGTAAGCACGTTTGACGTTCCAGTTTTGCTTTACGCGGTTTACCCGGTTTAACTTTGGACCCTTTGGTAACATGTAATAACTAGGAATTTGCGGGAAGAGATGCCCCAGTTGCTTCTATGTTTTACCTATATCAAAAATGAATAGAATGGGTGACTTTCTGTGTGTTAAATTACGGAAGGAAATTGGTCAATTTTTCTGGACCCCGCCGGATGATGATTCATTGTGATTGCACGGGGACCGCTCCTTGGGTTTAGCTGCAAAATCATCCCTCAAATGAAACGCTAGTGACATTTGCTGTCAGAAATACTCGTGCAGATGCACCAGCATATTTTTGAATAATTTTTGAAGATACTGTATACAATGAATTTTGAAGTTATAGCCCTTTCATAGCCACAAACGAATATGTGACTTGTGTGACTAAGAGACATCCACCAATTTACGCAGGGAAACAGTTTTCTCCAGGTTTGTAAAGAGCACCCCATCATTCGGATGGTGACCGGGTAAACTAACATGGATATGGAAAACCCATGGATTTTTGCAGGAATGATCCTCTTAAATGGTGGATTTTTATGGATTTTCCATATCTACCGTACATATGTCTACATTCATAGTGGGCTGAGAAGAAACTGTAAGATCTTTGGGGTCGGCAAAGGCTCAAGCCATAGCCAGTATGGCTCAGTTCATCCCTCTTGGGTAGGGCCAGGTTGATAGGCTTGACAGGGTCACATCGGTCACATCCGTTTTCCTGTACTATGCTTGTTTCGCAACATTGCAGACCACTGAACCCATGGGTTTGATTGACAAGATGGACCATGAAAAGAAAGAGTAGTGTAGTCGTTTTGCTTATGTTGCCTCAAAATTGCTGTGGATTCGATGGGCTACAAGCGACAACAAGATCATGCATTGGTTTGTACTAATATGTTTACAAAACAAAAAAAAACAAAACGGTTGATGCCGAAAACCAAAAAATCAAAATGGTTGATGCCCATGGAAAAAGATTCACTCGTAGGGTTGAAACCACAAAGCTTTAGTTGTTTCTCCCAGAAATATTGGTGAACATGATTTCATGCCACTATACACATCCCCATTGTGCGGTCCCGTACTAATATGTAAATCCCCTTACAACCACCATGGTTTCTGGGGAGTGAGTGGGGGAAGGGATTGTGCTTCATCTTCAAAGGATTTTCCTGCATGTTCCATATTACATATATTTACCACAGTTCCCATATTATGTGCCATGGTCAATAGATAATATATATATATATACTCTGCATATATATAAAATTATATATATATGATATATGTATACATATATATATACACACGTATATATATATACATATACCGATTAGTTGGGGGATGGTTATCCAAAACCCTTGCGATTTTTACACAGCCATGGTCATCCAGGATTCCCAGAATGGGATAACCAGCGGTGTACCACACCGTTCACTAGTTCGATTACTATCCGTACACATATACATAATATATATATATAATATATAGATAGATATAGATATATACATATATACATATATACATATATAGATATATAGATATATAGATATATAGATATATATATGTACCATGAACCGCAAAGCCAATGCCTACCCTAGGGATCCAAACACTGTCTGAGAAGGTACTTAACCCTCCAAATCATAGCCCAGTCCTAAGAATCCTAAGAAGCTACGGCTGGATCCATAGGATATGGGATGCTTGTCCCATGGTTCATCACGAAATCTTCCCAAGATTTCAGGAAGTTGGGCTGCCGCGCCCCGGTCTTGGATGCCAGGCGCCGGATGGTGACTGGTGACCCCCATAGTTGTTTATATGTGTTTGATCATATGCACATATATATATAATTATATATTATATATATATGAGTTCATTATTGTAGAAGTTTAGATGGGGTTACATATGTGTGTATATATATACACATGTAGTACATATACATGCATGGGATTCTCAGAAGATAGTATCTTATGTTTCTGTGTCATTATGTTTTCGAGTTTCCCAAAAGATACTGACGTAAAATTGGATAACACCCCAGTATTGGAGAAGCCTCTGTACCCTCTGGTAAACTAACATAGCTATTGAACATGGCCATTTATAGTGGATTTTCCCATTAAAAATGGTGATTTTCTATAGTTATGTTAAATTACCAGAGGGTAATCCTCTTACTGATTCTGCATCCGATGATATCCCCGGTGATGTCCCCATCAACGTGAAAACCATCGCCACCCTCGCAGGAGTTGTCCCCTGGGGACCTTCATCCTCCCACCCTTGGCTGAGATGTTTTTCGGCGATGGAAGCTGAGGGGTTTTGACCGCAAGCGTGGGGTACCATAAGACACATAAGACACCATGTTTCATCATTCTTCATGTTTCATCAGTTGTCTCGATGTTTCGTCACGTTTTGCATCGTTTTGCATCGTTTTGCGTCATTTTTAGATTTGATCAGAAGTTATTTGCAGGAGGTGAGATCTAGTTGGCTCGTGTAATTACAACTCTTTACGGAATTCCCTGACTGATACCGCGGCCTTTAGATTTTGTCAGCGGCTGCGGAATGAAACCGCATACTATATATTGTTAATTATATATTATTAATTGTATATTACATTAATTATATATTATATTAGAATTATATATTAATATTCATTATATATTATATTGATGAAATTATATTAATGATAATATAGTATATTATATATTATATATATATTATTATGTTTATCATAATAATATATATATATTATTTGTTATATTAATTCTATACTATATTGATTATATGTTGTTGATTCTTTGTTATATTAGTTATATATTATATTAATTATATATTATATTGATTATATATTATAATTAATTATATATTACATCATATTATATATTATATTGATTATATATTATATTAATTATATATTATATTAATCATATATCATATTAGCCATATATCATATTAGCCATATATTATGTTAGCCATATATTGTATCAATTATAATATTATATTATATATCAAGTATTATAATATATATATAGTGTATTATATATATTAAACATTTTATATTACATGTGTTATATCAATATATGATATATGACATATAATATATGATATTATATACTATACATTATATTTTATTATTGTTATCATTATTACTCTTCCAAACAACATGTATAAAATTGTATTTGTTCAAATACGATGTTTGACTTAGTATTTTTTCAAATACGATGTTTAACCAGCAAACCACTTCTTGTCCAATTCGGTAGTTAGAGTCCCGAATTCTGTGCTGAGAATGGGCCTGGAAGCCGGTTGGTATTGAAGATTGTGTTGTGGAGTTCAAAGATTCAGGCTCCAAATTTCACGCAAATTTCAAAGGTAAACGTGGTATTTCACGAGTAAACATTGTATGTCGCGCAAACTTCACGGGCATTTTACGCCAACTCATTTTAGCTGTTTTTTTTGTGAAACACGGGGCAAGCTACACATCAAATTCCATAGATTGCTGTCTTGAGCATGATGAACCTTATGAACATGGTCAAACATGGAATTTAAGAAATACAAAGTTTAACCAGGTCAAACATAGTATTTGACAAATGCAAAGTCAAACTTCAACATTGAAGACTAGGGCATATATATATATTTTTTTTTCATTTTTCTGTTGAGTTGGTAAACCCCATTGCTGCCCGAGAAATCTTCCATTTGTGGTCTGCCCTAATAGAGCGCATCCAGGCTCTGCGCTTCTTCGCAGATGAAGAATGTCCTCTGCGCGCTGCCGGCACGGAGCCTACAGTGGTTCCAGGAGAACGTGTCCATGTGCGCGGTGAGCGGCCAGATCGTGGCACGGTTGAACCTGATGGAACCTGGCTGTACCTGAAAATGGATGGGGTACCAGCTACAGCTATGGTTAAAATTGGGGAACATGATGAATCAATGGATTTAAGTCCAATGTTCGCACAAACTCCTGATTAAAGTTGCTGATGGGGAGGTTGATGACCAGTTGCTTCATATTGATTCATCAGGATGTTTTTAGGGTTGTACTGCATGACTTATTTGGGATAGTGAAGTGACACATTCTTGGAATCCCCAGCAAATAAATAGCATTTGAGTACTGCTGTTGGTGGTAACATTTGGCAAATGGTGTGGATTAAAGTTTAATCACGGAAAGTTTGATGTTGGTTGGCGCTTGATAGTTATGAACACCTACTAATCAACGTGATAGGTGGTTTCAAGAAGAAACCGAGGAACACATAGGTATGTTAGACGAGTATGATGCGGGTTTCAACAAATTCATGAAGAGATTGAACTAACGAACATGGGGATAACAAACAAAATGCTACCAGGAAGTAGTGCATACAATCTTTATCCACTTTTCTAGGGAAAACAGATGGTGTTTTGTGCATGTTTTGGTGTATCCAATCATCCCAAATCTTTGGGACACCCACCGATCCACACTGCAGACATATATCAGATCATATAAGTGTATCATAATATAATACATGTATATTATATTATCCCTTATATACCATTTATATTTATATGTATATGTATATATATATACACTGTACATATCCTCATACCATGGCTGCTTAAAGCGCGGCAGTGCCTTCCAGGTGCCCCTGAACGCCTTGGTGGCCGAAGGCCTTCTGCGGAACTTGCCCAAAGTCCCAGAGGGACTGGAAGTGGTGCCAGTGCCCCGAGAGATGGAGGATCTGGCAGTCACTTGGATGCGGTCTGTTGAACATCTATGGTTAATGAATGGTGTATTAAATATATGGATATACTATAATATATGGATAATATGTGGATAATATACTTATATATAATAATGATGGTTAATGCTGTGGTTAATCTATGATAATATATGATAATCCATGATAATCTATGATAATATTTGGTTAATATATGGATAATATATGGAACATATATGGAACATCTATGATAATCTATGGTTAATGGATAACATTAATGGATAATACATGGATCATATATGCTGTGGAGAATATAATATATATATAAGGTATAGTATGAACGATTATCAACCATTATTCCCCATATTGTGGCCATGTTCAATAGTTATGTGAAATTACCAGGGGGATCCAGAGGGTATGTATAAGGTATAGTAAGCCCCTAAGAACTACAATACTTGGATAATAATTGGGGCTTAGTAGTTTTTAGGGGCTTACTTTACCTTATACCTTTCCAAACTTACTATTCCCCATGTTTCAATGATTCCCAGTTTTTCCAATACTTGGGATAATAATAGGGATGATAATTGGAAAAACTACAATACTGGGAATCATTGGGGTTTTTTAAACCAACAATAATGGAAAGACGATGGGATACCCGCTGGTAAACATACAAAAAGCTAACTGGAACATCTCCATTTTTACGATGGTAAATCAACTAGGTGGCAATGTTCAATAGTTATGTGAAATTACCAGAGGGTATGTATATAGTAAGCCCTAAAAAGATGAGAACGATATGTTGCGACTATTTTTGTGTTTTTTCTTTTTCTGGGGGATGCTTTATAGTTATATATACATCTAGTTCTATATCTGCATGTTTGATGCACTTGCGGGTGAAAACGGTAAGATTTGCAAGTTGAATGAGTTGATTGTGGAAGCCTGAGCCCTGGTGGGGCTCTTCTGGGAATTGGGTGCTTCAAAAACCGATGGTTGAATACAAGTTGAATACAAACATGATCAACATTGTAGTGGAACCAATGGCTTTACATTTTGACCCACATGCTCTTGGCATCTCTTGGTTATCCCGTTATCTCTCATATTCCCATTGTTGTTTGTGCATGTTTGTGCTATGTATTAGATTCCCTATCAAGAGTTCCAGTGGTCTAGTCCACATCACCAGGCGTCTTTGGGCATCTGTGTGCGACAAGATGTGGACATGTGTTGGTTGATCCTGCGATCGCTGTGCCACTTGGATTCATTTGGCGAGCTCCAGGCTGAAAATTGAAGGATAGCACCAAAGGAAGATAATGGAAGTGTGTTTGTATGCGCAATTCTGTGTATATACACTTTAATATATATCTATATCAATCAATGTCATCCGATGCACATTATCCAATTATGTTTGGCGAACACAAATTATATGGGGATCATATTTTATATTATACATATATATATATATACACATAATATTATACCTATGATTGTGTTATATGTCATCAATATGTATATATATGCAGAACATGCGTGTTGTATGTCATCAATATGTATATATATATACATATATATATACAGAACATGCACATATCCCATAGCATTCATCACAGGCATGGCCCCATACCCAGCAGATGGGAACCATGGCCCATGGCCAATCATAGCCATAGCCAAATTACCCTCTGGTGATCAAACGTGGAAATGGGACATCCATCATTTATAGATATTTCTAGATTATCTTTCCAGCAAACTACACTTCCATTTACCCTCTGGTTATGACTAACATAGCCATGGTATAGATGGCCCATTTATAGATGATTTTCCCAGCTAGAAACCTCCATTTATAAGGGATTTTCCATGGCTATGTTAGTCATAACCAGATGGTATATAGTTTGGGGATGTTCGATGTTTATGCATTTTCCAGCCAGCCACGTAAGAAATCACCGGAGGGCAATTTTATGTTCGGTCTCTAACTTCCTCAGCAATAGCACCCCTAAATGAGATCCAAAGATTTATAGATCGCACATCATTTCTGGATCTTTTTGGGATGATTGTGGCACAACCAATCAATGCCAATCAATGCCAGTGCCTGAAGGCATCCTTTTTGGGTCGCCCTGATCCTCCAGGTGATGCTGGCGTCAGATCTGTGGGGCCATACGTGGAGAACCTGGCGATGCTGCAGTCCCTCCGCGGCGATGCCTCTGCTTCCGATCTGCCGAAGAACCAGGCGCCGTGGCGTCCACAAGGGATGACTTCGAAGTTGCCGGAAGTTCAAAGTGGGATAAAATTCAGACCCCGACCAATAAGTAATTTTGTGGGATAAATTACTAAACTTACTAAACTTACTACTAAACAATGCAAAAATTCAGACTATTACTTTTACATTGTTTAGTAAGTTTAGTATGAATAACAGTAATAATCAGTAATAGTAATAGTGATCACCATCACAATGGCCATGCTATAATTTCATACTCCATACTGATCATGATGACAATATATCATAGTAACTTTAACAACAATATATGTATATATAATAATATAATATAGTTGTTATTGTCCATTCAAAGTTTTGGCAGGTACTGACTCATTCGTCCGTAAAGTGCCCATATTGTTTTCCCACTGGTTGGTTGTTTAATAATGATAGAGTCTTCCTTCCATTCAACTGCCAATACATAGGTAGATTGCAAGACATAGTATACCGATACCTAGACTCTTGAAGTATCCCTAAAAATGAGATATGATATGAACTTAGTACTTTACCTCATAATTTTCCTACTTTGAGGCATTTTATGGGAGGGTCTAGATATGGAGGTTTCCATAAATGGGTGTACCCCAAGACATCATCCATTTTAGATTGGGATTTTTCCTTATAAACCATCCAGCTATTGGGGGTAGCCCCATTTATGGAAACCCCCATATCTTGAAAGTTCGCGTCTGCCAAAGGCGATCTTGTTCCTTCCCAGTTCTTCGAACGCTGAGCCCAGCTTCGCTGCGCTGTCGGAGATCTACGTCACGCAGGAATTCGGGACGGAAACGATGCCCAAAGACGAGGAGGAGGCGGGGCGGGGCCCCTGCAGGGAAGTTGAGATGTGTTTTTTCGTTGAACCAACGAGAATGGTGATATTTTCATGGGTATATATGTATATAATGGTGATTGACAAACAAAAGTGGTGAACAATGGTGAGATGATGATGATGATGATGATGATGATGATGTGATGATGTGATGATGTAATGATGATGATGATGTGATGATGTGATGATGTAATGATGTGATATGATGTGATATGATGTGATGATGTAACGATGTAACGATGTAACGATGTAATGATGTAATGATGTAACGATGTAATGATGTAATGATGTAATGATGATGATGCTGATGCTGATGATATAATAGGATACAACAGGGATACAACAGGGATATAGTGGGGATATGGTGGGGATATAGTGGGAATATAGTGGGGATATGTCATCGGATATCATTGGGCAAGTTGGGATTTGTGTCTTACTTAAAGCCTGACCCCAGCAGAGCACAACATACACACAACACTGCTACAGCTTGGCTCAACATAGCCTCATATAGCCTCAACATTGCCCACTGTCTCTGGCAGTCTTTATTTAGTTCGATGCGGTTCACATTTTCCTACACCTATTTAGTTGGTGATTTCCGAGCTAGCCATGGTTGATCACACCGACCAAGGGGTAACTAAATACATATACATCATACATATTTTTTGATGTCAAACCTGGATGAATAAACCCTGGTTGGTGAAAAATCGGGCATCTGCCTCAAAAACTAAAACAAGGATATGTTTCTACTAGCATGGTTCCCCTCCAAATGATGAACAGTACATGGGGTGAGTAAACATCAAAATTATTACAACAACCAAACCCTGCGACCACACCGGAATGATGGTGAATGTAGGGGTAGCCAAAAGCCCAACATGTCAGATTAGTGAACTATGACTTTATCATTACATCACCATTTCTCCTGGTTTCCCTTCAATGAATCAACCATTTTCTTGCTGAACACATCCGGGCCGATTTTTTTTGCCCATCGCCATCGGCCGCCATCGCCATCTCCTTGAGATACCCAAGGCCAAAGTGCTGGAGATGGGTTTCGAAGAGCTCAGGCAATTTCTGGGACGCTCTGCTCCTTGATATTCCATTTATCTAACTGGGGGTACAGGCATGTATAAGCCTTATTTACATCCATTTACTAAATGGGATATTAATATCCTATATATATATAATATTGGGAATAGATTAGATATGATATATTATTACAATTTGATTGGATGGGGATATGGGTATCTGATTCAGGCCTCCATGGAAACCTCATGGTGTTTGGTGATATTTCTTGGATGATGGTAGTCATCAGGGCAATTAAATGGGATACACGCAAAGATAATTTGGGTTTAGTGGAAATTGAATGGGATTTTTTTTTACCAACAACACAATCTGGGATTTCTTTAATGGAGACTAATATAGCACCCCCAAAAAATCATAGGCAAACTGGCCATCTTCGGATTGGATCTGTCGCTTTTGGGAACGAAGTTTGCCAATGTTTCAAGATGGTAGGTCTGAGATGTCTCAGTTGTGGTTGCGTATAGAGGCAAATCTGCATTATTGTAGTGCCCCGCAGTACTAATAATACTAATACGTGGTGTTTGCGGGCAAACACCTAGAGAATTTCGAGGGGATTTTGCATCGTCTCTAGATTTTTAGAGGGGAGAAGCTCTGTGGGCCTTGTGGCAAGTACTGGTTCTACGAGTCAACGCAATTCAAATTCAGCTGGATGAATTACTCGAAAATCTGGAGGATTTGGAACAAGCGGCACAAGCCGGGCGAGTCGGGTGAGAGCAGTTGATGATGCGTATGGCCAAAGGGCCGTTGAGAAAAGGAAAGGGGGCTTGGTACACTGTGTCAGAAGCATCATTGCCCACTTGATCTATATATATATATATATTCTATTTCGATCCAATTCTTCATATATGTTTCATCCTTTGTGCTGTCCACACCAGCATTCATCAGTGACATTATGTTATGAGGTCAGAAGTACTGAGGCGCTGGTCCTGTGCGTCATTTAAGGAAATTGTTTTTCGCGGTTCGCAAGGATTGGAATGCCATAAGCATCCATATCATCCATATCATCCATATCATCCATGAACATTCATGAACATTCATGAACATTCATGAACATTCATGAACATTCATGAACATTCATGAACATTCATGAACATTCATGAACATTCATGAACATTCATGAACATTCATGAACATTCATGAACATTCATGAACATTCATGAACATTCATGAACATTCATGAACATTCATGAACATTCATGAACATTCATGAACATTCATGAACATCATCATGAACATTCAGAACATTCATGAACATCCATGAACATTCATGAACATTCATGAACATTCATGAACATTCATGAACATTCATGAACATTCATGAACATTCATGAACATTCATGAACATTCATGAACATTCATGAACATTCATGAACATTCATGAACATTCATGAACATTCATGAACATTCATGAACATTCATGAACATCACATTTTTTCCAAGTTGCTGAAAGGCATGAGGATTCCCATCTCAAGTATCTTGGTCGAAGCCATCAGATTTCACCATTCTGATTCTTAGATGATCTAGGAATGCTTTGGAATGTTTCAGATGGGCGGAAACACGTTGAAAACAGCCCTCCAAGTGAACCATTGGGAAACCAATGAATCCCACCCCCTCATCCATATTAAACACCCTTATTGTATGGCCCAGATACCCTGTGGTAATCAAACACGGCAAAGCAACATTCTCTGTTTTAGATGTGCCATGCTGCCATGCTCCGGTAATTGGAGGCCTTGATTAATTAATCATGATTAATCCATATTAGATTATTAGATGCTAATCTATGAGGGAATTAAATTATGAGAATTCCACACCTACCAGGTGAAGGTGGCTGGATACAAATTTAATATCTGCGCCTCACTGACTCACCTCGTCCAGAAGCTCCTGGCAAGTCCGGCAGTCTGGGCAACATGAGGGGCAACCCGAGCCCAGCGGCTCAGTGTCAGAAAGATTGCCAGAATGTCAGCCATGTCAGAATATAATAATATGTCAGATAGAATGCCAGATACAAAATGCCAGATACAAAATGCCAGCTGGATATGTATATGTCAGAATATATGTCAAATAGAAGGCCAGAACGATCAGAAAGAATTCCAGATAGAATGTCAACATATACGTCAGATAGATTGTCACAGACTGTCAGTTGGTGGGGATCGCTATGTCAGAAGTAATTCTTTGCTGTCACATAAACATGGGGAACTTCAACTAAATCAACTATGTTTAGAATTCAGTCATTTTATGATAGTTATGTAACAACATAGTATTCTATCAACTATTGTACCAACTAATTTAGTTGTGTTTTCAATCAACTGGAACATTTATCAACCAATTATCTTCCAGTCATTTTTCGTTTGCGCACATCTTCAGCGAATCACCGAGGTTATTAGCTGTGCCTCGGCCGTTTTGGATTATAAATTTTGGTGCCATCTCAGACGGCCATCTGCTAAGAAGTATACCAAAAAATATACCCTCTGGTGAACTAACATAGCAATGGAAAATGGCCATTTATAGTGGATTTTCCCATGAAAAATGGTGATTTTCCATTGCTATGTTAGTTCACCAGAGGGTATACCAGATGCGAACCATAACCATGGTGCTGGTATATTTACCTACATAACTGGATGATTTTGGACAAGGGCAAATGTTGGTAAATATTCCAGCACCATGGAGCATTTGGGTTTCTTGTGAATACAAGATTCAGAAGCAAAATCTGATTTGATGGATTTTGAGCTTGTCAGTTGCGTAAAATCATCAATACAAATCATCAATATCCCCATTTTTCATATGTTCTCATGGTGACCGGGAACATTCGCAGCGTTGCTGTTGCCATAATCCAGACAACAATTCTGCTTGGTTGAATCATGTTCAAATCCCAAGGTTGGCTGCTTAAATTCTGGATATATCTCAAATTTTGTTAGTAATATAGCAACATATGGTTTGGTTGTTGAATCCCAGTTGGGTTGAACATGGTTGAACATACTTGGTTGAATCTGCTTTCCTCCCGAATTTTGCTCAGTTAGACTCCCCAAGATTGCCCAGCTCAGATATGCTTAGATGATAAACTATGTTAAAATACCGCACACTTCGAATCTGCAGCTCACAATGTTCATTTTTTGTTGTGTTTGAGCCAATCCCCAAATTTCTGCTGCTTAAGTTTCAAGTGGTAAGTGTAGATTTCATCAGGCGCAACATGGCTTTAGTCAGTTAGTGGATTCAATGCCCAGTCAGTCAAAGTGATCTAAGCCTCCATTTCGATTTCCCCGTGGGAAATCCTGACTGGGATGACACATGTTGCTTCTGAGGAATAATGTACTGTATGATAATGTATGATAATTTATGAAAATGTAATAATGTATGATAATGTATGACAATGTTAGGAACTTCTAAGTTCTACTCCCTACTTCTAAGTTCCACTCACTTTAAGTTGATATACCACCATTTGTTGACAATGCATGGCAGATTGGATTATACCACATGTTGGGTCAACCATGGTGAACCTAGTTATCGCTATGGTATAACTTAATAAGTTAGACATGTCCTTCATTAATCCATTATTAACCATGCTGGTATACATGTTTATATCAACTACATATCCCATTAAGTTGGTAATGTTAGTTGATATAAGTCGGCAAAACCTTCATGTATAGATGATTTTCCTATTAATAGCTCCATTTACTGTAGTTTGTGATTTCCAAGCTAGACATGTTCGATGAAGCCAGAGGCTAATTGATACCCAGTTGCTTAAATATTCATTAATGTTATAGTTGGTAATGTTGGAAGATATTTGATATACATAATATATATATATATATTATGTAAATTATTTAGATATCCATTAAATCCATTATATAAGTTCTCATTCCACAAATGACATAACCCCGAGTTGCTTCCAGGCACTCACAACGTGGCGTATTGGTCCTTCTCCTCCGAGTTAAAGCTCATGGGCTGTGCAGAGCGCCCCTCCGTCGCGGAAGCTCTGCAAGCCTTGCAGCGGGCGGCACAGGTGCCATGGCATGCCATGGCCACAAGGTCGAAAAACATGGAGGTTTTCAGCAGTAGGCCGTGGCATTTCAACACGGCTGGAGAACATGACCAACCAGGAAGTTTTAGGGCTAAAGGTACCCCATGGTGCCCCAGAAGAGATGCAGGCTGCAGGTTTTAGCCATATTTGTTTGCTGAAATCATTCTGAATGATAAGCGCAAAGATGCTGAGGTTTTGTTTTGTCCAGAACTAGCTTTGAAAACGGGACATACCTCCATAGTCACATGTTGTGGAAAATCCTTTACGGGAATACGATTGAGAAGATGCAGTTTTCTTTTTCAGCCATGAATATTTGGTGGGGGGCATAGTTTTATGATGACATAGGGGCATATTGTGGCTATGTAATTATTTTTTTGGCAAGTAAGCCCAATCAGAAACACCAGTCGGGTATTGTTCATAATATACCCCAGCAGCAAAACTGGGTAGGGTTTATTATCTATCCTCTTCAAAATGGTATATACTAGGCGAAGTATTTCAGCCAGATTTTTATTGTCAGCCAATGAAAAACTAGGATGAATGTTCATCAACCAAGCAAATCTTGGAAGGATAGAATTCCTAGTTTTCTGCTGGTGGAAGCAACCAGGAATGGTCATAAAACCACGGAAATGAACACTGCACACCTTTTGAACAAGAGCGAGACGCATGAAGATGGGAAGGGGATTACATCAAATCAATCCACATGTGGATAGTAACATACAGCAACTAAAAACAGGAAGTGCCTCAGTTGCCTCAGTTTCTCTGAATCAGTCTGAAGCTTTTGACATCTTTTGACCATTGGATCTATTGGATCCCAATGCATCTCACTTCGGGAGTTCGGCTTCGTCCCATAGTCCCAGTATGTCCCAGTGATTTTTTTCCCACCGCTGTTGATGATATGGTTTTCTTGGAGAAAACGTTGCCATACCCAAAAGATTCCCAACAAGAATCCCCGTTCTCCTAATTTTTTTTGGGATTATTATGAGTTCTATCCTGAAAAAAAAGGCGCCATTATATCACCATGTTCCCCTGATCAATCCTCATGTTTGATGTTTTTTTTGATGATAATCCCGCAAGTACATGTTGGAGGGTTTCATCCTCAGTTTAATATATAGGAACCCCTAGAAACGTTTTCCCAGGATCTTAGTTCGATGATGTCTTTGCCATCATTTCCAGGTTTCCAGTGGGGATTGCTATAATCCATCAATCTCATTTGATCACAATTAATCCCAATCAATATTCCGTTAAAAATTCACCACCAGAAACAACATTAAACAACCATTGAAGAATATCGCCATTTAATCCATTTAAACACATTCCATTCACAAAAACAAATAACATATATGATCCCCAACATATACGAGTGAAAATTCCCTATGAATCCATAATACCCATGAATAATCCCTTTTTAAAAAGCATTATCCTGACTCTAAGCCACATCCATGTTCATAGCTAATATATATATATATATAAATAGTTAAAATGGATCATTCCCCTACATGATCAATATGTTCATGTTCCAATACATCATAGTACTAAGTTCTAGTTTTTTTTAGATCTACTATAAACCTTTGATCGTAGTACATAGTTATAGTTATAGTTATAGTTATAGTTTAGAAAAAACTATATATTATGAACCATGAATATAACTATATAACTATAACTACAAACTTATAATAACTATGCTGGTAGCATTCAACTAGTATTATGGACCATTAATAGTCAATAGTCGTTGAATGCTACCAGGTAGCGACTTGACCCAGGAGCCCAGATTCCGGCAACGCATTGGGCGCAGCAGTGTGAAAGATCGTGGCGAGCTGCTGAATGACCAAGGCCTCGAGGTCGGACCAAAAAAAAATCCGGGGATGTGGAGGTAGCATTTTAGGACACCTCCATAGTATATGTGACGTGCATGTGTATATATATATATGTATTGTATTGTAATGTATCATATATATATACATAGAGGTATATATAATTATATATATATATTGTGTATATATATATACACATTGTATATTGTGCATAGCGTGTAACAATATACACACTCCCCAGCGGATTTCCATTGACATGGAACATTAACATATTATATCTAGGGCCTAGGGAAACCTTTGGTGATCCATATCTATGTTACCCTGCTGGAGGACATGTATAGTATACATGTGTAGAAACATGAGTTATCTTGAGTCAAATGTCATTATCCAGTTTCTAAAACTGCGAAGCACATTTAATTCAATTCCTCATGGTTTAAAACTTCAAGGATTAAACAGAAACATCACAATTTTCAGGTGATGTTTGTTAAAGAAACATCAGAAACGTCATGATTTGGCAATCTCACATGGCACAGAGTGGTGAATGGTCCTGGTCACAAGATGTTGCTCGGTTTAACCCTTGCAGTTTAGGGCACTGCTCCCACAACCCGTGTGAAGGGCTTGCAAGTCAACGGGTTTACCCAAGTCAGGATGAATCTGTCTTTTTTGCCAGCATTCCTGCATTCCTACATTTGAAGAGATTTCTTCCAATTTCGCCTAGTTTCGGAAAATCCTGGTCCAGGGTAGGTCCGATTTGCCAGAGGTCATGTTGAGTTTGTATCGTCTGCTGGAACTCGCTTTATCGGCAGTGGAAGATGTTCCCAGCTGGGATTGGAAGGAGCCCAGGGCCCAGAAACCAAGGGGACGACAGAACACTTCACAGGAATGATGGTATAACATGGTATAACACCTTTGAACAAATTGCCACTTGAAATAAGTCCTTGGCCATTTAGGGAGCATTGGGAAGTCGAAATGTTGATATATTGTGTAGCTGGGAACACCGATAATTTTCCAGCATTTTCTCTGAAGAAAAAGGTGCTTTCGAAGCCAGCCAGGTGAGGTGTACCGTATGTACCCCCCAAAAATTGCCATTTGATGGAAAGATCATGCCAGTGGCAGCACATCACAGGAGCGGTTGACGCCGACGCGTGTCCTGCAACCGGCGGCCGCGCTGACGGCTGCATGCAGCATGCATGGGCCGCTTCCAATCGTCACCTGGGAAGGGCGACTGGTCACAGGCCTGGCGATGGTAGAGGATGCTGAGGTAACACCAACCCCTTGGCCAAAAATTGGCTTGGAATTCAGAGGGTGTGTGTCAGACAGAATCTATCGGTGTGGAGAAACATGTGGCTATTCATATCGAATTATTCAAAGCATAACTATTCATAATATGTCATATGATCATACTATCATTATATAAGATGGTCATACAACTATTCATATCTAATACCATCTGGTTATTTAACATAGCCAAGGAACATCACCATTTTTAATAGGTAAACCATCTATAAATGGGCCATTTTCCATGGCTACGTTAAATAACCAGATGGTATGCCAAATGTTTTTGCAGCTCCCAGCATTTCCCCCCTGTCCACCCCTTCCGAAGGAGGATCTTCGGAAGTCTGGGCCTGTCGCAGCAGCTGGTTCTTGGATTCCGTGCTGGACGCAGCGTCGCTGGGACCCGGTAGACATCCCTCAATGGATTGGTTTTTGTTGGGAACATCCCAACCGGAAACCATTGATTTTCCCATTTTTTGATCATGGGGCTTTCCGGTTTCAATTTTCCCTTACCCTCCGGTAAACGTTTACATAGCTATGGAAAATCATCATTTTCAATGGGCAAATCCACTCTTTCTATAGCTATGTTAGTCATTACCAGAGGGTGATCCATTGAATCCCATATGATTTATAAGTCAACATGTTTCAACCATCCAAAAATGCAGGAGTTTGCAACCATTGGTTTGTCCAAGTATGTGGGGATTGCCAGGGGGAATCTGTTGTATTCGCTATCTTTTGGACCATCAAATCCAAGATAATGAAGCATGCCAGCAGGCTTCACAAGAAGCATGGTCCATGATTACAGGATATTACAGGGCTATATCACGGTATATCCAAGTTCACAAACGCCAATTGGGGATGGTCATGGATGATCTATGTTTGAATTTGTCTCATTAGACAGTTGGTTCCTGGTTAGTTCTTTGGTGGCATTGCTGGGACATTCAATGAACGGTTCTTTTCTGCTTTTTTTTGTGTTTGTATATATATATATATATATTATACACATTTTTTTATGCATATTTAGCATGTTTCACTTCCAACTGGAGTATCAGAATCTGACGTCTTTGATATGCTGGATGGGTTCAGTTGTATTCCAAATGTCAACTCTTAGCAGGTGCTTCGCCAATAGGGCAGCCCACAAACTGTTCAGGTCGTTGCTGAAGAGCGACAATAGTTGCACCATGTCGCACCCTTTCTTTTTAATCATTTGGAGACCACTATAGTAACCTCCAAAAAGATTAACAAGTAAAATCTTACTACGCTAGTGATATATTTTGGTTTTATCGTTTTGGGGGTTACTAAACAGACTTTATCACTAGAGATTGGTCTAAGGGGTATATGTTTGCCAGCCCAAAATTGCGAGATTGAGTTGATTCCAAGCAATAGAAACTATCGTCTTTACCGTCTTTACCCTTTGCAGCGAAAGCACACAGCGAGCAAGCAGCACAAAGCCACCAATATGACTTGTTTCGTGGAGATTTTATGAGATTATCACTATGAATGATTGCTTCAAATCCCATCGTGGAGGTTCCTAAAATGGGGGTACTCCAAGTCCAAGTCATCCAAAAGTAGACCATTATAGTAGTGAAACCTGTGGTTACTTGGGAATCCGTCATGTTGAGAAACCCCGTGTTCAAACTTCACATCATTTGAAACTATGAATTTGAAATGCCAACTCACAGCTCCAGCCGCGGCCCAGCTCCAGTCTTCCTAACTTGGTTTACACTAATATAATCATATTATATATATATTTACATATATATATACTATTTTATTTTTATATAATTGTATATTGTCTTATATATATATTATTTATAACCAGGGTTGGCCTATTTCACCAGGGGTTTGTGACGTATCCAAATGGGATCTTGGAAACTATATTGAATTCCTCAGAAAGCATATTGAATTCTTCAGGAACTATTTTGGATTTGGGACAACTATGAGCTGTGACTGTGACTGAGACTTAACTTATGCATCGGAAGCTGCACATGATATGTGCATGATACTTGGGAATGCTTTCCTACATCTGAATATTGCATACCGCCACATGGCTAGATACATGTTCCTGGCTTCTGCGCTTCTGAATGGCCGAGCATGCGCGGTTGTACACTCTACTATATTACTCAAAAACTGATAGATATACTATAATGATTGTAGCAATATTTTCTTTTAAAAACATGTTATTACTGTTACTATCGTACTAAACGGTTTTTCAATTTGATAACCTGACACCTTTGACAAGTCATAAGTTTGAAATCTGAATCGGAACTAATTTTCCTTTTCAAAACCACCACGTATCAAACCAACTGCAAACGCTGAATTTTACATAATAAGTTGGATGAAATAACCTAACAAATCACACAATTGTGATACGACACGGCCTCGCTGGCAGAATGGGGTACGGAAAGCATTGACGACATACAACGCACAATGACAAGCAACATTTCATCCAAAATTGAACTGGACTGTACCCGCCTGAATTGTGAAGATGCCTCTGTTATTAACTTTTGACCATTCGCGACTGACATGATTGCTGCACGGTTTGTTACGACCTGTGATCTATGTGACATGTGAGGAAGAGCCATGAGCAAGGATGACGATGATGACCATGAGGAGAGGATGAGGATGAGGATGAGGGTGAGAATGAGGACGATGATGATGATGATGATGATGGTGGTGATGCTGATGATGCTGATGATGCTGATGTTGCTGATGTTGCTGCTGCTGCTGCTGATGATGATGATGATGGTGGTGGTGGTGGTGTGGTGATGTGGTGATGTGGTGATGTGGATCAAAATTCAAGTTAAGTAAAGGAAACAACAGGTCAGATCGGAAGGCCAAAGTTGGAAGTTTAGAGTTTCTATTCTAGCTTTCAGAGTCGGCATGGGGCTGTTTTTGCTCACCCCCAACCACAGAACTGGCGTACCCCATGTGCTGGAAAGTGATGTTTAGATCAAAGTGGGGTGTAGTTGAAGATGTTCAGAGGGCATGCGAATTTGAAGATTGATATTTGCCAGGCAGTTAGTGCATTCCAATGTAGCCCGTGAGATTCTCCATACAGTTCCTGAAGTTTTTCCATATAGTTCCTGAGATTTTCCATATAGTTCCTGAGATTTTCTGTATAGTTCCTAGCCAATTTTTGCAATTTTCAGACCCCAGGAACGGTCGCGACGGTTTCTACGGTTCCATTTTTGGGCATTGGAGGGGTATGGTTGACATGTGGCTTTACGGCTTTACGGGGCCATAAATTGAGCCGGAAGAGCTTTGAAGAGATCCAGGGATATAGAAGCCGTTTGGGCATGGAAAACCAGATTTGGAATTTGCCTGGTTTTTGGAATCGAGGGGCACGTTGATTTAAGTCACGGGGCGCTCCTTCCCTGTGCTGTTTTTTCCGGGTGACCCCCCACAGCTACACCAAGAACATCGATGATGCATTTCTTTCATCACTGGCAGGAACCAACTTGCAGATTTGTTCATGTTGCTGATGATTTCCATCCCACCCATATTCTTAAAGGAATTTTGGGTAGGTTGCTGTGGGCTATACTATTTTGGCTATACCGTTGAATTATGGTAATTACTATATTATGCGGCCGCGCCAACATGCGCCAACGCATATATCAAAACAACTCTTAAAGCACGTCGTACACGAAAAGCTTACAACTTGTAGCTTTTAGCTGAAAATTTGAAACTAATATGTTTTGAAAACATATTTGGATCATAGATAAAACGAGAAACAAACATATGATTTAGGGGTCAGGACCGTTCCGTGCTACAAGGCAGAAACCGTCGCGACCGTTACATGCCATATTCAAGATTACAGTCGGAAACCGTCGCGACCGTTCCATGCTATAGCCCTTAAAAATCGGATATAGTCCGGAACCGTCTGCGACCGTTCGGAACCGTTCCTGGAAACTGCAAAAAAGATATAGTGTAGGAACCGTCGCAACCGTTCCACGCTGTATTCAAGATTACAGTCGGGAACCGTCGCGACCGTTCCCGCAAAACTGGATTCTTGCGTTGTTTTCGCCTAAATATATCAGTATCTATATCCATATATGTTTTGATTTTGCATTAGAATATGTATGTATATATACATACATACATATAATTGTTACATATGTATTTTATATGAATACAATACATCATTATATGTGTATACAAGTATATACATACGTTATATCATATCTTTTGAAAAAGCTGCCTAGATGGATTTTAGAACATAAGCCGGCTATTTATAATTCTATGATTTTGGTTCCAACATCATCATTGATCCTGGGGTTTGGGGGTATGAATGCCCACATCTCTGTAAGTGTTTGAGCCAACTTAAAAGGCTGAACCTAAGTGCAATTCTTTCAGCACAACCCAGTCTTTTCAAGTTCCTGCATTTCTTTCTTTTAGTTCCAACATATTTGTTTATAGTTCCAATATTTTCCCATATAGTTCCTATATTTTCCCATATAGTTCCTATATTTTCCCATATACCCAGGGTGGCCACACACAAATAGGCCATCACTGGTTATAATATATTATGTTATATGTTTATATATTGTTATTATTATTATTATTCTTATTATTATGTTGTTATACAATTCTGTATGTATATATATATATAATTATATTTTATCATTGTATATTATCAATATATATATATATATCACTATATATCAATTACATTTAACTATATTTAATTATATATCATTCTATCATTATATATCACTATATATCATTATTATATCAGTTTTTATTTTTATAAAACACACACATATATATATACACGTGTATATAGTCTAAATATTCATTATATACATATAATTATATATATATACATACGTGTATAGATATAATCTGGCATCCAAGTACCTTCATCCTCGGCCAAGGCCCATCTGTTTCATTCATCGGGACATTGCCGAACACTGCCCGCGGCTGGTTGCGGCCAGCAGTTGGTTCTATGTGGAGGGGCGGACCACCATCGTGTGGCAGCAATCCAACAACAACCCGGAGAAGGACCAGTACGAAGGGTTTAACCGTTTAACCAACACAAATGTTTTTTTTTACATGAATCAACTTGAATCATCTAAAAGGGGAATATAATATATATATATATCATATTCAAGGTTATAACATGGGTGTATAACCAATGATATGTGCTGTGTTCAACCATGGTGGTGGTGCCCAAATTTAGCTCAATTTGGTGTGTAACTAGGCTATGTAATTTGGGATTAAGTAGGTTTCTGGTGATTATAATCACAGGTTAGGTAGATAGGGTTATAAGCCAACTCACAACTAGGGGGCACCACTGTGTCAGGGAAATGGTAAAAAAGGCATCATGAGTTGTTCTTTATTTTCTTTGGGTCCTTTTTGTGTGGTACATGTCTTTAAATACAACATTCAGAAACGGCATTTACGGTGTATGAGAAAATCGGGTAGCAGCCACACGATGAAACCGTTGTAGGGAACACTGATGAACCAGTGGATGGAACGGCGGAACCCTCCTGGCCTGAAGTGGATGAGCAGCGGACTATCCCGGCCTGGTCCTGCCGTGTTGTTTATTTAAGCACTGAGTCGTCAGTAGCAGTGTAGCCTCATGACGACATGATACTTTCCATCATTTTCTGAATTTCTTCCCATCATCTTCATCCTCTTTCTGGTTGTATCATTCAGTTTCCATATCATTTTTCCTTCCATTTTTCTCAATATGTTCATCATTTTCTCATCATTTTTAATCTTTCTAGCAGCAGTGTCTCATCCTCCAGTCCTAGTCCTTGTTGTAGCGCTCTTCCAGGAGCTGACATAGGTCTCCGAAGCCTTCAGCGAAGTGTTGAGGCGACAGATCCAAGTGGTGTCTTGTGACTGGGCTCGGACAGGAAACGAATGGGGGAAGCGGGGTACCCCGGGTCGCCCAACTGGATGCCTAGTGATGTGGATGTTATGTTCATCCTTTGCCATAAATATGGGAACATATACAGATCTAATGATATGTGGATAGATGATGTATGGCGAAGTGGGTTTTCTAAATCTGGGGTGCCCTAAGATCATGTATATACTAGCGATTCATGGATGTTCATGCTGCATCTCGCCCTGTTTGACCCATCGCCATTCCAAACATCTTGATTTATGGCCTTTGAAAGAGGAAGTTGAGGTTTATATTTGAGTGGGGAACATTGGGGAAGCCATGAACAATCAACATGATCAATTTTTATGTGCTATAACTTGTCAACATCTCATCAATTGGAATATATATCCCGTTTCTCAAGAGCTCTAAGTGGCCGTGGGTCCGTGGGTTTTACCACCGTCATTGCTGGGACGGAGTCGATTAGTGACTGGGATGCCTCTCCCACTGGATGTGACTGGCCGAGGCCTCCGAATTTTTGTTTTTTTCCGAACACGTTGGACACCCTCGAATTCAGTGGTTACTCATCATTATCCCCATTTAGATTGCTATATATATATATGTGAATATGCATAGCCCCATGTCTGGACAAACATGCCATATATGATATCATCATATACATATACAGATACGCATTAAATGCATATGAATAAACACATGTGTATTCATAAACATCCGCATAAACATATATATATACACAATATACACATGTATATATAATACATTTGATTTCAGTACATTTGACATCTAACCACTTACCATTCCTAACTTTCGCACAGGCGTTTGTGCGTAGCGTTGTATTTAGGCAATTGGATCGCGCTGGAGCTGTTCTTCAGTCCCAAAGTGGAGCCCAAGGAGACTGACGCTTGGCGCAAGCAGAGCTCGGGTTTTTTTGTTCGAAGGTGTTGGCCGAACCGCATGAATTGTTGCGAGAGGATCTGCAGATGGTCAGGAATCACATGTTCTACAGAGGGCTTTTCGGCATTTTTTGGCATGACCACTATGAGATTATATACTGTAATCCCTATGCCGGTGATCCCACAGAGTCTTGGGAATGATATTTTTGGTGGTGGTTTTCTTGGATGAGATGGTCTGTCCTTGTGGTTCCACTGGACAGCTGATTTTCGACCCCCAGGATGGTTCAACGACAAGTTTTGTGGGTCAGCTTAGCCATGTCCCATGTCGACGTGGATTTCCCAGGAATGGTTCTCAGATGTGCCTGGCTTGATCAAAGAACGGCTCCGTGCACAGCCTTCCTTCGCCATGATTGGAGGCAAGTTTTTGGAGATCTTGGAGTGCAAATCATAGATGGTCATAGGAAGTGGTTTTTGAGTAATGTGGGTAAAACAATGCCATAAACCATCCTCCAATTTCATCATGAATAGGTGGTATAAACCATTCCCAAATAGGTGGTTTGTTAATGTTTGTTATTGTTTTACCCACATTAGTTGTGTCTGAACATGGGATCTGCCGGGCCCCTGAGTTATGGCAATTTTCATGGAACAATGATGATTTTTCACAGCGGATCTGGAGGTATTCTGTACCAGGTTGCCAAAGGAGCCTCATCCAACTCATGATCCTTGTTTGATTGCGTGTTTTGCACGGGGTCACAGAATTCAGACATGATGGGCCTCCACTTCAAGTGGTCAGAAGGGCTTGCCCTTTTTTTTTTAACTCGAGAAGATTTGGAACTTTGAAGGATTTTTGCTAGGACAGGGTTGTGGTATGGTGGATTGAAGCCCTTCATATGCTGGCTTTGCAATTGGCGGAGGTGTCCTGGTGCTTGCCACGCATTTCGTGAAAGAGGCGGGGCTGAACAACATGGCAGCATGGCTGGCTAGTGTAAAGATAGTTCATAGAGACTTCTCAAGAACCTCAATACAAGTGATGCTACAATGATACGTTCATAAAGCCTTGGGATTAATCTGGATTTATTGGCAATTGATTTCTGTGCATTTCTTGGAGCGAGCTACCTGGAGTGTTGTCTTCATCCAGATTCTATGCCTACTGTTTCCCTAATTTCTGCTTGACCCTACAGAAAGAACCCCTAGGAGAGGTTGGTTGACCAGAAAGGTGGTGTTGTTCTAATTATTTGGTTGGTATTGATTGAAAATGTCAAGCAAATTGGGCCCATAATTCACCATGACAATTGGTCCACAATGGACACCCCTCCCCCAGGTTCATAGTTCTGACCCAAGACATTGTCCCATTGAAAAACTGTTATGTTTGTACATTTTTTAAATATATGCTGTGGGTGTGTCTCAAAATCTTGTGTCTATGTTATATATTACACATACATACACACAGATACACCAATTTTTTCCATCAATAATCGGTTCATTCAATGTTAATCATGCTATCTCCATTGCTGTGTGGTATATACACACATGTTTGTTTCGTCAATTCATTGAAACCATGATTAACCACATTAGCACCTCTCATATATAGATATTGATTTGTCTGACAATAGGGTTTTGATGACTTATCATTGTTTTGCGTATTCAACAGGCCATAAACTGTATACACCAATTTCAGACACACCCATCATATTGTCGATTCTAATTAACATTCTATTCAATCGTAGTATATCCAATCCATATATACTAATTGTATATGGATATATATATATATAATATATATATATATATATCATTATATATAATATATATATATATCCATATACAGTAATCATATACATATTCCCCCTATTTCCCCATTGACCCAGGAACACTTTTCACCCGCTTCAGGCCGCAGAGCGTGCGGCGCTGGCCGCAGCTGCTCTGGCGCTTGCGTTGCAAGAGATGGGGAAGACACGGCAGGATGCCGAGGCTGGTACACTTGGAGTGGAGACATGACCCAGCCTTGGGAGATTTGGGATATATAATGATACATATATATTTATTATATATATATACATACATACATAGTGAATCCAAATATTGTAATGATATCATCCATAGATCTAGTTTTGAATTCCAAAATATCATAAGATATCGAATGGGATACAATGGGATGTGTATCTGAATATAATCTATGATCCATTATTAATGGGACTCTTTGGGTATTGATCAAAATGGGGTACCCCAATAATTGGTGAACTTAGTCTTTTTTTGGACCTATTCCCATATGGTAAATTCAATTTACATATTGACACAAACATGTGTATTATACTATTTCTTTGTGTGATATTTTGTATATATATATATGATTATATATATATAATAATATATATATATATATATATGTGTGTTGGATGTGGAGTCTATGGAAACCTATGTACTGTATTATATGTATATACATGTATATGTATGTACATATAACTAATTAAATATATATATATATATGTTGGATGCAATGTATATACATATATGTATATATACACATGATATGATATTATTGTATGTGTGTGTACAAATAATATGTCTCATATGTTAGTAATATGCATATTTACACAGAGCGTCTCGATCTCCCCGACAACATCGATCCATTGATCATCAGTAAATTGCAAAAACAAAGTGCTTTAACAGTTCAGCTTGCCATCGTTGTAAGTCAAACCCAGTAACGTCAACTCCGGATGAATCAACCCTTAGACAATATATTCCCATACGGCATACCCCTAATAATTATAAGACACCCCCCTCAATGGTTGCAAGTATGTGTGAATCCCCTATATACTAAACCAAGGTTTCGGGGGGTGTTTAATATTAGGGGAACTGGATCATACCAAAACTATTGATGATTCAAAACCCAAACAGAGGCATACCAGCAAATTATAGAAAATTCAGTAACTCTTCAGGGAATCGGGAATGATTTTGAACAATGCCAGATTCTATCTACTTTAGGATGACCTCAGTGTACATATATATATAAAATTATATTATATATATATATATATTTGTATACACCAGCTATTTTTTGATCACTACTCACCAACATCAAGTTTCCAAAGTTAGGCCTTGGCCCGTGAGACTTGCGACCCTCGGCTGCTGTCCTGGGAATCCTGGGAATTTGTTGAGTGGATCCTCTCTGGTTATGACTAACAGTTTGCCATAGAAAATCACCATGCTATTAATAGGTAAATCGTCTATAAATGGGCCATAGAAATGCCATCACAAATTTCTGAAAATTTAACATAGCTATAGAAAATCCACCCATTTTTAATAGGTAAATCATGGTAAATCATCTATTTTATAAATGGGCCATTTCCCTCTGGTTGAGTGGATACCCTCTGGTAAACGTTTACAGTTTGCGACATAGAAAATGGCCCAGTCGAAATAGTGAGTTTTCATGAGTTTTCCCATTCATAGCATGGTGATTTTCCTTAGTTTTTTGTTAACGTTTACTAGAGGCTACTCATGACATTCTCAGGAATCTAAAAACGGGACCATGGCCAGAAAAACTGGAGACCAGGAATAGAAACCTAAACATCTTAAGATATCTTAAGACATGAGAAGAACAATAACTTAAAACAGGTGCATCTTCAAATTCAGTTGTTAAAATGTATCATGTCCAGGGTTTCAGCCGTTGATTTTGTGCCGGCCAAGGAGAAGATCCGATCTTTCACATCTGAGCGCTTTTGGGAAGCAAGTTCCAGTCAAAGCCATGCGGGATACAACATCAGGCGGAGACTTGTGGTGACTGGTTACTCTATATCTTTTTCAAAGCAGTGGCAAGAAGCCATCAGATATGAAATGATATGAACTTCTGGCGTCGCGGGTTGAAATTATAGGCCCTTACATATATTATATAGATCTTAGATAATCTTAGACTCTTAGACTTATTGATTAATTATATATACAGTGTCCTTGACGTTTCCCCTTGAAACACCATGGTTTCCGATCAAAAGAACTCACTTCGGCCAGGCAGGTCCGTAGCACAGAAGTGCTCCTCCCAAGCGGCATTGGCGAAGAAGCGACACTGCCCGGATTGATGGGAAGCTTCGGCGCGGTGGTATCTTGGCACAGGGAGACAGGCCTGATCCGTTTCTCGAATAAGATGATGATATATGCTGATGATGCTGTTGATTGTCCCATTGTCCTTTGATCATATCCTCCTCTGTCAAAAAATTCCTTGCCGGGGTAGTGCTTTTGTTTTTTCAAGTTTGACCAGGTGTACCTTGCTTGCCTTACTTGCTTTGTTGGAAAGCAAAACATATTATGTGCTGAAGTTTAAAACATCTGGAGGGAAAAAAATGATCTCTTTGAATATGTTTGTGCCTACTCTTATACCTTAAGTTTGCTGGCAAGATATGTTGCAGCATTTTTTTTAATGCCTAGACACCACTAGTAGCATTTCGCTTTTCATCAACCATTCCGAGGAGCAATACGAAGATGATGAAGAAGCAAACGCAATGAGGCATGCGCAAAAGCCAAAGGTCTCCAGACTGGGTCAAAAAGGAATACCCAGACCATCCTAGATCACGGATGTTGACGATTTCTTGTATTTCAGCATCCAGTTTGGGGTCTGAATCATAACATACATATATATATATATATGTATATAATTATAATTAATGATAATGATAATAACTATTATTGTCATGACTCAAAGACTCTCAAACAAGCACAGGACGATTACCAACCACTGATGATACAATTTAAACTTGAAAACTCTCCGGGGCTGATGCAATCCTGTGCCACCAATGGCTGCTTCAGCTTGGTTCAGCTTCCCAGACATAGCCGCTATGATTCAACCTGAAATTACAAAAAACATATGTAAATAATGAAACCATATGAAAGCCCATTATATTTTGGTTTTAAATCTAGCCCATATTTTCATATATTTTCCCACAGCGGCTGAAACGGCTTGGAATCAATGAAACAAGCAGAACATCATTTTTCAACACATTTGCTAAATATAGTAACAAAAACATCACCATATGAAACTCATCCCAAAACATCCCCATGATACCAGGCTCCGCGCTTGTCCCGGGGAGCGCCGTGACCACGAACTCTTCACCGACGCTTTGGGGCGGATCCTCTCGGACCACGGCACCGTGAGCTACCGCAAAACTGCCGCGCCGGCGAATGCCGCGGAGATCTTGGCGGTGAAGGAGACATGAGCACTATTCAAAACCACTCAAAAGCGCTGATTGATGACTATACTGACCTATATGAGATTTATATAAATCGAACATGTAGGAATATAATATATAATATAATTGAGAACATGTGGTTGGTTGATGATAAGGGATTATGCTGCTCAAGCTATTCGGGGATATCACAATCCATTGAGGGAATCCCGTCATATGATTGGATCATGCCCGTGATGGTTTCACCCGCAAAGATATGGCAATTTCATCTGCGGGGGTCTATCCATCTGCAGATCCATCACAGTTTTTATGGTTTCTCCGGAAGAAATTGAGATCTAAACAGAAAAAAACGAACATTTTTTGGCAGCAAAAGTAGTGATGGTGACCAATATTTGGCAAGTAATTTTGGGTAACAACATGTAACAGACCATAACATACCAATTCTATGAGATTGTTCTTCTTGCTGGATAGTTTTCAGGGTCTTATTTTACTCATCAAAAATGGCATCAGTTCACAAGATGTTGGGGCGATATACCAACTATTTGGCAGGGTTTTTAACCATGCTAGCATACGTTGGATGCACATGCAAGTCGAGTGAGGAATCAGCTTTGCCTGCAGCAAAATGTCATGGCAGGAACAGCAAAAGCGTGTGGGAGAGCGTGCAGAACATTTCTACAGTTGCTTCCTTGAAAGTGCCTTTTTTGCGACTGAAGCGACTCCCCACCTCCACTGTAGGCCTGACATGCAGTAGGCATGGCTGTGTGGCCATGTATTTGGTCCATGTGGTCCATTAGCAAGTGGGGAGCATCCCAAGAATCTCTCAGTTCTATCCAATTCCTGTGATGGGCTTATTAAACCAACTGGATGTCTCCGAAGTCATCTCACCATCTAAAAAGGTGGATACCCTCTGGTAAACGTTAACAAAAAACTATGGAAAATCACCATGCTATGAATGGGAAAATCCACTATTTCGACTGGGCCATTTTCTATGTCGCAAACTGTGAATGTTTACCAGAGGGTATCCACTCAACCAGAGGGAAATGGCCCATAGAAATAGATGATTTACCTAATTTTACCTATTAAAAATGGGTGGATTTTCTATGGCAAACTGTTAAATTTTCAGAGGGTATATATGGTACAACCGCACCCCGAAATACCCCGCGGTGTCCCCTTCGTTATATGATCAGTGGGGAGGTCCACAAAGGACCCACTTCTTTACACCCTCGGCTACGCACTGAGGTGTGTTTGGGGATGCCTACAAACCCACACGCGATTGGGTGTCATCCGCGAGGTGCAACATATATCTGGAGTCATGGGGAAGATGTATATATATATGATGATTATATATGATTATATATGAATATAATGACTTAAATGGTCAATGGAAAATTGATATTTTTTGGATAGTGGATAGAAGTGGTAAATCATGGGCATTTTTTCGAGGATGAAACCAGCAATGTCTCTTTGGTAAATCATCAGGGACCATCCCCAGCGACATTGATCTGTTTCCCAACCAGGCAAAAGAGAGGACACACGGTTCTGACCAGGTTGATATTTTATAACATGTGGGTATGGATCAATACTTATTAATACCATTTTTAGGGGGATGAACATCCATTTACCAGCTATTTTGATGTTCACCAGGGGTACAAGGTTTTGACACACTGCCATGTTAATTATCAAAAAAAACATGTATTTGTTTTATCACCTTTATCAACCAGGCTCATTGTTTTTTAATTTTAAAGTTGATAAAGGTTGTATGGTGTTTACCACATCATAGATCACAGAATCACAGAATGCTGGATCTGGCTGGAGTACTGCACCACCCAAGCCCTTACAACATCTTGGAACTGGGACAACTTATATAAATATAATTAAACGTTTAACACTATATATATAATATATGCATAACATGTCTATCATCATATGTTACATACGTTTTTTTTGTAACACCTGGTGATGGGTCACTACCTATTTCACTATAATTGGGGGGATGAATCTCCAAAAAAATATGAGTATGTTGATCACAGCTGTACCAGAGTTGTGATCAATAGCCATATGTTCATATGTATTTGGTCAGTAATGGACAACTATCCCATAATGGCCAGATAATCAGGTTAGTTAATTGTGATTATTCACTATCTATCCAAATCCAGATATTAATACCGGTATAATACCCACACACATAAATAAACATAATATGCTTCCAGGTTATCCACTTATCTATCCCATATCTTAATTTGGCCTACATCGTAATTGATCCAAACAGGGTGGTTATTATATCCTGAATTTTCATAGAATCCTATCAAATCCCATATCTAGCCATTCTTCTGTAGATTTTCCCTCAAACTAATCCATTGAAAACGTAAGTATGGTTGGTTTCGACATTATAATGCTATATAATCTCCATATACCCTCCAGTAAATTAACATAGACCCTGCCACATATGGACTTGGAAGATTAGTTTCTCTCCATATTTCCGCTCAGAAAAGGGCTATTTTTGTCCGGGTCGACCTGAATTGGGGGAGGGTATTTAATCCCCCGGCCATTTCAGGAACCTAAAATGGAGGTACCTACCATATATAAGGCCTATATAAGGCCTATGTAAGTGAATATCCCCACAAAATATGGCCTTATATGGTACTAACGTACCTCCATTTTAGGATCCTGAAATTCCCATTGACTGTAGGTTGTGTGTCTACCCGGGCCGTGGCACTGACGACGCCTGTGGATTTGACTTCGTGGTGCTGGACACGGCACAGCGGATCGTGCCGTGCCAGGGGAAGCGCTCCGTGAGGCGACGCCAGGGTGGCGCCAGGACGACTCGGTAGTTGATGGGTCATTCCGGGGAATTCTACCATTAAAGCAACATAGCTATGGAAAATGGCCCAGTTAATTATATAATATATATATATATAATTATATATAATTATATATAAATCTGATTTTCCCAGCTATGTTAGTTTACTGGAGAGTACTACCTGGGTTATTGTTCCCCTCAAAGGTTATAGGACTCCACGCCTATGTAACACAAATGTACTCACATATATACACATACACATTTGTTTGTTGTGACTGTCTTTCTTTTTGACCGGTTAACTTTGATGTAGTTGTTTTGTTCATCAAATGAATAGATTCAAAAGGGGTTGATTGTATCCGCACACCTTAATTTTTGAATTTATTTCGGCGTCCATTTCTTGACATATATATATATACATATTTATCATCCTACTAAAGGTAACAAACAACCAAGATACGATATACCTCTAATGTCAACCCGAATCAATACTCACTTCCTAGTTGATCAATTGGCTGCGAACCCCAAACAGGCGATAGTGTACCGTCACAAACGGTATGCTCCTTTTTAATGATCATGGGTTTAGGAATATTGTGTCAACACTATATAAAAAGTATAGATGTGTACAAACATACATACCTACCTACCTACCTACATACATACATACATACATACATAGATAGGTACATAATATATCAGGATATCTATACTATACATATCCAAAAGATACATTTCCCAATGCTTTGAAGATGTTTTCTCTTCAAAGGCAGAAAAGTGCCATCAATAGCCCAGACTATCCATCTAGCCGAATGGAGCCAGGTGTTTCATCGAAGTTAAAGGCTCTGCTGGAGACTTCAATGGGATGCTGGTCTGTGGTTTCGAAGTTTTTTGCATTGTTCGTCGATCTTTTGATGCAGTTGGGATTGCAATTTAATCCATTATCCAAATGAAACTCCTGGTCCAGAGGTTTTCCTTCGAGAAAATGGAGCTTACTTGAGTTACACCCAAATTGCAATGGCGATCCAAATCAACTGATATTTGTGACTTGCGTTGTATTTCAATATTTGTTTTTCAGGCAGGCTGCAACTGCCAGGATGTTTTGCTTGAGCGCCAATGAGCAACGCAAGCGCGATCAGATTGCTGCCTCGAAGAGCGATGGCAACGCCTATGTCATTGCTGTAGTGGACAATTTGGTGCCTGGCTCCGAGTTTAGTTCTGGTGATCCTTTCCGATAGGAGTTCCCCTGCTGTAGGGACCCCAAAATGAACAGTTCCAGAACAAACACCGCAGTTTCTAGTAAAGATGAATCTAGTCTGAAACAGGTTTGGTCTATTTTTTGAAGATCATGAAGATCCCTCCGGTAAAGTTTGCTGGCTGGAACACCCACCGTTAATAACATCCCTGTGGAAATCGCCAGGAAGAACATGTTTTATTCCCTTGGGTCGATTTGCAGAGGCTTCCGAGGTTCAGATGAAGATCAACCAGGGAGATTTTTGCAGATTTGCAGGCATTGCAAAATCAAATGAGGGAGACTATGGTTTACCATGACATATCTCCAGTGTTCGGTTGGTGTCGTTTGCATTCTCAGTTGAGGATGGTACGATGTATCCTTATACTGTACGGACATATATATATATATATTAATATTTATATGATATTAATATTTTGTCTTATATTATGTGTATATTTCCATAATATATATATATATACATGTAGAACTATAATACCATGTTCAGCTACTTTTTTGATGGGTTGAAACCACCCGACACTGATGGCTATGCGGCTATGGGACTCATCATTTTCACCGCTTTTTTACTCAGTGGATTCAGGTCTTTAAACCAATTCGGGATGATGACAAAAGCCACCCAGAATTGAGGAAAGCACTGGGTGTTGTGGCCCCAAAGAATCACCAACATTGAAGAATGGAACGCATGAATGTTGTGGCCCCATATTTTTGTTGTTTTGCAATAACAAATATAACAAGTCTTAAATATGCCGAACGTTACACACGATGTATCAAATTATTGCATGGTAATCGTAGGGTGTCATCTTGTGTGGTTCTCTGCCTCAGGAGAGTTTGGAATTTGCGTCCATACGTCACTTCATTTGGAGCGATGCTTGTTGGTAATGTCAAATGGGCTCAAATGGGTTTGTCTGAAAGTGTGGTATAGCATTTTAATAGCCATTGAATGGGGAATATGACGGTAAATCATCAACTGTTGGGGTTCAGACAAACACAAATCTGGTTTACCTTCCGTCCCAGGGGCAAAACTAAGCCCTGAATGGTGAGCACACCTGAAACAGGTGGGGTATCGACCAAGGATTTGGTTGCCAGTCTTGGCTTGCTCAGCGTCAACAACCAATCAGATTATGTAAATCTGTTGTAAACTACCATGATTGTTGGAATTGTATGCCCTGAATTACTCATCCGGTCGCCACACTTTTGTTTCTGGAACGTACCATGTTTCCCATGTTTACTTTCTTTGCGGGCTGGAGGGTTTTATCACGTCGAAAATTCCATCTTGTTTGAGAACCAAAATTATGTCTTTTTCCACTGTTTTGTTTAATAGATAAATAGAGGATAATCCGATAAGCGACGGAAGAATGGGTTACTGTAATGGTCCTAATACTGAGGTGAGCGGTTCCAGATCTGCAGAGCTTTTTGATTGTTTTGATTCTGCAGAACTATAAATCGAACATCGTGAAATAGTGAAAATGAATGGCGTCCTAATGGTGCTACCCAAAAAAACACTTCTCAACCCTTAAAATGCATCAAACTGTTCCAGACCTTTGGTTTTGTTAATTCTTAACGGATTTTGACGATTATGATCAATTCCAACAAAAACCTCATTTATTTGATAGACGATCAAAATTAAGGAACGATTCCCTTGTTTCATTTTGACTTACTGTGCCAGTACATAGTTTTATGTATTGGAACCTGTGGAGCTTGATGCCCCCATTTTCCTCTATACAATTCTATACATATGTATTATTTCAGACATGTTCAAAAAGTGAATATTCATCCCAATCTCATTAATATAGTTAATCACCGAGTCCTTCAACCCACAAAGTGACGACGATCCTCAACTGCTGCACTTGGCCCGACTCCTTGACCAAGACCTTGTAGAGGTCCTTGTGAGAAGATCTTGTGGGGATCCTGGTGAAATCCTCTGAAAGCTCCTCAGGTCCTTCTATGAGCGTTTTCGTGGTGGTATGATCTTGAACAAGATCGCGATCTTTAGATCTTCCTATTGAATAGGTCAATCCCCTATAAATCTCCTATATTCATTATATTCTTGGTGACTCCCATTTTGAAACCCCAAAGTTGGTCATATTGGTAGAGCTTCAGAAGCGCTCAGGACGATCCTCAGCTGCTGCGCCTGGAAGCCGACTCCTTCCTGGCGCGGGTCGACCCCGCCGCCGGCCGCGCCGTGGCCGGCCGGGCGGCGCCGGCAGCGGCGCCCGCAGCAGCAGCGGCGGCAGCGGCGCCGGCCAAGAGGGAGACGCCTGTGGCGACAGTGAACATCCCGGCGGCCAAGGTGAGTCGGCAGTGAAAGATGGGGAAATGATTTGGATAATTTCTGATATAATATACAATATAATAACAATGATGATAATAATAATAATTTTAGTAATAATGATAATAATAGTAATTATTATATATATATATATATATATAATAATTATTATAGTAATAATAACAATAACAATAACAAGAATATTAATGATAATAATGATAATAATTAATAATAAAAATAATAGTAATAACAATAATATATATATATACACATTATATTATACATACTGGTTGATCTTTTTTCCAAGACATTTATATCATTTCCAATCAACTACAAGCATTTATATAAATGATAGACACACTTTATCTTTTTCGGTGAAACTTAAGTGACCTCAGAATTCAACTGAGGTGGGTTTGGTCATTGGCAAAGGTGGCGCCACAGTGAAATGGATGTCACAGGAATCTGGAGCGCAAATCCAAGTGGTGGACGGAAACACACCAGGCCTGGCAAATCTGAAGCGACTTGGTATGACTTGGTCGGATTTTCGCGATTTTCGGGTAGCCCGGGTAGCCCCTCGCAGTTTTAGAAATGGATGTTTGAAAATTATGCCCCTGGAAAACTGACCGTTCAAAAGTGTTCAAATGCGTAGACAAATATCCCTCATTTGGGAATGTTTGAATGCCAGTAGAATGGAGTGCAATGTCCAGGTGCCTTTTCAAGCACCCCACATACGATTGGTTTGCTTGCTATTAAACGCAAACGCATTGGTTTTGATCTTTGGAACCATTTCTTGATCCAAACACCTACTCCTGAAACCTACAAAAAAAGATAAAGCTTGCTGCTCACTTTGAATTGGGTATTCTAAGTCAATAACCAGCCGGAAACAAACGTACAAAGGGAATGCGCACCATTTCTGTCAATGTGTGTTGTCAAAGTGCCCCTGAAACCAGCTTTGATTCCAAATTGGTCTTACATGTGACATCATGTGACACATCGTAAGCTTCCGAATTTTTGATCCCAATCCCATAGGATCCATGTATGGTATATATGCTAACATTTCGGGTACCGGTATATTGATGGTAAATGTTACCATATATAGCAGCACCATGGATCCGTCATGGGAATTTGTTTTCTTCTTTTCTCAGTGAAATCATATGATTCGTTTCCGCTGAGGATAGAGGGTAGCAAGGCTCAGATCCACCATGCCAAACAGCTGATTCAAGAGGCTCAAGTGGGCCTTGCAACAAGAAAAAACTGCTTGGTGGTTGATGGATAAATTGTTATATATATATATAACTATGTGTATATAGATATATAATTATTAAATATTGTTAATATAAGATCATATATCATTATATATATAATATTATATCATTATATATAGTCATATATATATATGATTCTATGGAAAACAAGGGTGATTTCGGCCCTAAAATAGGGGTGGATGATCCCACGTGTCCTTTTTGTGGCTTGAAGCCACCAATTTACCGAACATCTTTGCATATCCACAGATTCGTTCGGTAAATATAAGTTGAGTAGGGTAGTTTTGCGTTGAAAAGAAGTGCATGGCAATAGAGAACATACCAAGAACGGCAAAAGAGAAGATGTTTTTTTTAGGGGAAGGTAAGACTTAAGATTAGCCATGAAGAAATTCACAGATTTGATTATTTTACAGGGGGTGCCCAGATACTTTTTCTGTTTTCTGGGTCACTTTCTGGTGGTTCAGTCAGACAAAACCACCCGATAGTTTGATGGTGACCCAGCCAGTTCTAATCCGCCTGGATGCCTCTGGTAAGATCTGGTAACCGTTACGATAGCTACGGACTTTTTTCGCAACATGTTTCACAGCTCATCCAACACAATTCAACGACAAAAAGATGGCCATTTACAGGTCATTTACAGGTCATGAAAAACAAAATGGCCATTTCTCATAGCTATGGCCATCCCCTCTGGAAACCGTCGAAAATCGCCAGGTCGTCTACAGCCAGAGCAGCCAGTGGGACGCGCGCACCGGCCGCGTGTGGAAAGGCAACGGCTCCGCCGGCTCGGTGTGGGGGCCCCACGGCTCCGCCAGCTCCTCGCAGGGCTGGCAGTGACGGCAGTGATGAGCACCTCCCAGATTATCCAACTGGGTTGCATTGCTGGATCCATTGGTAAGATGGGAAATTGAAAATCAAGAAACCATCTCCAAGTTGATCATAAAGGGTTGTCTATGGTTATGAAAACAATCCACATTGGATGTATTATTGGGGTTAGCGCAAGAGCAACCCTGGGGCCCATGTTTTGGAAACCCTTAGAAAAGAAAAGCTGTAATGGATCGAGATAATGATAGACCTTGAGGGATAAATCAAACAGACACAGTATAGTACCACCAAAAAGATAGAAAAAACATAGGAAATAAATAGTAAAATCCCACAAAAACAAAGTAAAATAAGATTACATCTATACGTTCTATCCTTTCTAGTGGGGTTAGAACAAAAACAGTAGCTTCAATCATGGCCAGCTGCCGCTGCCGTTGGACGGAACAGGAATCTTCATGGCCTGGATGAAAAATCACCATGATTTTTGGTTGATAAATCAATGAACTAAATGGGCCATGTTCAGCAAACGGTAACACATTACCAGAGGGTAATCATCCTGCTTGTTTTTTTGATGTCACATGATATCATCATCCTGAGTATCATTTTATTATAGAGCATATGATGTTTATGTTCTTCATGACGTATGTATCGTATTTAATACAATCTATATGTAGTCATCCTGAAGTAGATAGAACATGGGATGTTCAAAGATGTGTCCATTCTACACACATTTTGCTGATAATTAATGTATTTTATACATTATATGTATGTATGTATATATATACAATCATCCTGATGTAGACAAAAGGAACGTTATTGACCTAAATTGTGCTAATATATGGAATAATTCTATATTATATATATATATATATCATTTAATATATATATAATATAACATAATATAAATATAGTATGATATATTATATATTATATACTATATATAATATGATATATTATATATATTATATATATATTAAATATTATATATATAATATATAATATAATATAATATATATAGATAATATGGTTCACCCTTGACTATACTACTATGTATATTTAGTAACCAGACATTTCCAGGATGACTATACACATAGGATTATACATGTATCACGCTTGAAATGATCAATGAAGTACGTTACCGAAAACTCTACGGGAAACAAATCCAAGCTTTGACCCGCAAACATAAGGCTCAACCCTGTATTTGTTTTTGTTCCATGAAACCAATTCTAGAAAATGAACAAGTTCCTCACAGCAGGAAACTTGGGCCCAAAGGTTCCACCCAATTTTCACCGCCGCTGGAACAGTCTACGGGAAGGAGAGGCTCCTGCAGAGCCCCCCCTGTGAGCAGCGTGGTACGATGAAAAAAAGTCACAAGCAGCCACAGATCATGAACAACGCGGGTTTAGAATCGTGTTCGTTTCTCAATGTCAATTTATCTATTTTTATTGATTCAGCATGATTCAGCATTTACAATCATTTACTATTAGTAACCAATATTTAACACATCTACCATTCTTAAAGATTTCATGTTTTTCAGCTTTGATCCTACGTTTGTTTAAGGTTTTTTCGAACAAACAGCCATGGCTACCCCATGGTGGATCCAGTGGATCCATGGATGGTTTTTCCATGGCTATGTCTGTTAGTCATAACCAGATGGAGATTGAAATATGTTAAATATACCATTGATAAAGCAAGGTGAGCCATAATTTTCTGGCGCCATTTGATTTGCTCCAGGTGATGTGGAGACTGCAGATCAGGTGGATATCGAGTGGACTGACTATGAGAAGAGGCGCTACAACAAATACAAGGCGCGCAGGGCCCTGCGGGGCCCTGCGGCTGCGGTTCCAAGATCTTCCAAGATCTTCCAAGATCTTCCAAGATCTCCCAAGATCTTCCAAGATCTTCCAGATGACGCTCATTCTCAGTGTCAATGAGTCAATGTAGATGCATCTGACGATCTTGTTCAGAGATGTTCAGAGTTGTTCAGAGTGGGTACATTGTGGACATTTGGATATAATATAATGTGGTTTTTAGCCGATCACCAACCTACCATTTGATCATTTTTATGAGCCATTTAGGGTAATATGGCGGATGGTTTATGGCATTGGAACACATTACCCCTGTGAGTTGTTTCAGCCATGGTTTCGCAGTGGCCCTGAGCTTCAGCTCCGTCGCAGATACACAACTTTATGCGAGTGCTTCGTGCAAAGGAGAAGAACCAAAAGGACAGAAATACGTTTTCTTTGTGGCACGATCTTCAGGATGCCTTCCATTAGTTACCATCTGGTTATTTAACATAGCCATGGAACATGGCCCATTTATAGATGGGTTTACCTAATGGTGATTTTCCATGGCTATGTTAAATAACCAGATAGTACAGTAAACCTTGTTTTTCGGCCGTTTTTCGGCCGTCATTTGTGATCATTCACAAGTTGAATCCCGGGGGTTTAACCGCAAAAATGATCTCCTCACCGAGTCGGTGACGATAAAAAGGAGGGTTGGCTGAAGTCACGTATCTTGGTGAACGTTTGGGCAGATCCATCCTGGGGAATGGACTGAGAGGCTTACCCTCTGGTAAACATACAAAAAGCTATTGAAAATGGCCATTTATAGTGAATTTTCCCATTAAAAATAGTGATTTTCCATAGTTATGTTAGTTTACCAGAGGGTATATGGTTATATAATGGGGGTGTCTAAACTGGCATCAACTGGCATCAACTGGCATCAACTGGCATCAACTTAGCAATTTTGGGCATGTTTCTGAATCTTGATCCGTGCTCTTCCCATGTATATATTGAGATTTCTGCAAAAAAAAAGCAGATCAATGAGCTAAGTCCATAGCCCACAATCAGAGAGCCGGGTAAACGCTTGGTTGGGTAGATAGCTTCATGCTTACCCCCTAGTAAAAGCTGTAAACAAGCATGGCAATGGAACACCCACCATTTTATAGTTGATCTTCTCATTCAAACTATATAATATTATATTAAACCCTCCAAATTTATAGGTGATTTTCATTGATTTTTATATAATATTATATTAAACCCTCCAAATTTATAGGTGATTTTCAATTCACATGTTTGAGACTTTGGCGACTCGTACCGGACAGGATGTTTCATGTCTTTTTCTCCAGGATGTGGTGGTCTTTTTGCAGATCCCCGAGCCGCAGTCGGGAGCTCCAGTCGGCGACACCGTAGACCGAGAGAAAAATATCGCCTTTGGTGGTTTTTCTGTGGCCACAGAAAGGCTGATTGAGACATCACTAATATAGGATCTTTGATGATGTCCAAATCCCCTGGAGTATCAGCATTTTCCCTATCATAATTAATATAATAATCGTATATAATCGTACTATTTGGGGATATATCATGACATATCTCATTTTTAGACAGGCTCAGATAGGACGTGTTCTTGAAGCTTTCTCCCATACCTGGTTAGGAACTGGATGTTTTTGGGTTTGGCACATAGACAGGGTATGAAACTGCCAAGCACTGCATCTTTGCGATGGGCCATGGAATTAATAGTAGTATAAGATAGTACAAGTTACAGTAATAGGTCAGTAACATCTTTTTATTCTACCTTTTCAAAACTGAAAACCTGTGCATATATGTTACATATATGTTATGCAGCATCGTGATGGCTGAAATCGACCTTTTCGGGGGTGCTTTAAGGGTTACAACATGTTGGCTCCGCCGGGGGGGTTTGCCCGGCTTGGAACAAGGTCGACTGTGACTACATGTGATGAGTATCCGCAGCCGTTTGTTGTTCTTGTAGTCATGGTGTTGATTTTACTGTGTTTTTTTCATATAAAATGTGGTTGTTCACAAGTAGACGTCATATCTTTTTTTCAGATGCAATTGATCATTGAATGTTTTGACAATGTCCAAACTTGAGTTTTTTTCGCCAAATCTGGCGGAAAAATCAACAATCACCTGTAATTTACAGCGTTTCCATTTGACACGATTTGCATACATATATAGACAGACATGAAGTATACATATATATATATATATCACATACACCAGAAGTAAACAGAAAGAGTCAGACAGAAAGGAGACACATGGCAAGAAGAAATACATTGAACCCAATCAAGATGAGGAAACGATGGACAATCAAACATGACACTGCGATTGCGTGATACGTTTGCACATGACACACCAGCAGCGTACCATGTGCACACATGAACACACCAGCAGCGTACCATGTGTACACATGAACACACCAGCAGCGCACCATGTGTACACATGAACACACCAGCAGCGTACCATGTGTACACATCAACACACCAGCAGCGTACCATGTGTACACATCAACACACCAGCAGCGTACCATGTGTACACATGAACACCAACGTTGACACACCCCACCCCACCCCACCCCACGTACCATGTGTACACATCAACACACCAGCAGCGTACCATGTGTACACATGAACACCAACGTTGACACACCCCACCCCACCCCACCCCACCCCACCCCACCCCATGTTAAAATTCCGGGCAAACCCCCCCGGTAGACCCGACATGTTGTAACCCCATTACCAGAAATTGTAAACTCCATGGCTGATCTATAGTTGAGTTCCAGGGCCATGAGAATTTCTCAACATCAGTTCGATGATTTTCCGAGCTAGAAACCTCCATTTAGTTCGTTGCCGTGTTGATTATCGCAGGGCCTATAGTTAGAAAAAATGCAGTCATGTCCCACATCTGTGGCATTCGGGCATTCTGGTTTTGAATAAACATGACCCATGGCCGCCATAGCCGAGTTCGCCATGGCTAATGGGTTTGGTTTTCAGTCAAAACATGACTAATGTATACTAATGTTTCGTCCTGATTAGTGTGAGGGCCCCCCCGAAAAACACTAGCTATACCCTCTTTTTGGGATGCCAAAAAGTTGTTCCCGAGGAAAAAACAACGCACTTAAGTAAGGATTTCAATTGGCTACAATTGACATCTAATTAAAATCAATTGGCAAAGCGTTTAATAAGCGGTCTGATTCTTTTTGGAAAGGCTTGGACTTTGAACTTGGCAATTGCTTTTGTAAAAGGCGTTTCTTTCTTCTCTTGG